AAGAACATATTATTTTAGGCTCTCTTTTAATCAGAGAAATAGGATTAAAAAACATTTTCAAAAACAGAAACACAAAATACAACTATTAAAGGTAAAAGATAACAGTGTGTACTTGTATCCTGTATGAGCATTTATCCTACAGCTTAATCTGTATACTAACATTCCATTTCACAAATGGGGTAGTACCTTATAGCTTGCTATGAAATTACATTTATTTTAGGTCAAAATATTTTGGGACATGCATTTTCTTCTTATAAATGAATAATATATAGTCATACATTTTCGGAGAATACAAATGAGCTTGTTTTACTCAATTGATTGTAAACAATGCCATTATAAACAAACAATGTATAGCTTCAACACTGTCAGTCTTTGCATCTGGAGCGCTGTCTATGCATTCGAGTGGGGTTATATTTTCCCATCCCTCAGATGATAAAATTGATTAAAATAAGTGGCAGAATGGACTTTTTTCTTCTTTTTTTTTAACTTGCGGACTGTAGTCTTAAAGGTTGGTATGATGACTTATGTTGATACAGTGGGGAGAACAAGTATTTGATACACTGCCGATTTTGCAGGTTTTCCTACTTACAAAGCATGTAGAGGTCTGTAATTTTTATCATAGGTACACTTCAACTGTGAGAGACGGAATCTAAAACAAAAATCATAGAAAATCACATTGTATGATTTTTAAGTAATTAATTTGCATTTTATTGCATGACATAAGTATTTGATCACCTACCAACCAGTAAGAATTCCGGCTCTCACAGACCTGTTAGTTTTTCTTTAAGAAGCCCTCCACTCATTACCTGTATTAACTGCACCTGTTTGAACTTGTTACCTGTATAAAAGACACCTGTCCACACACTCAATTAAACAGACTCCAACCTCTCCACAATGGCCAAGACCAGAGAGCTGTGTAAGGACATCAGGGATAAAATTGTAGACCTGCACAAGGCTGGGATGGGCTACAGGACAATAGGCAAGCAGCTTGGTGAGAAGGCAACAACTGTTGCCGCAATTATTAGAAAATGGAAGAAGTTCAAGATGACAGTCAATCACCCTCGGTCTGGGGCTCCATGCAAGATCTCACCTCGTGGGGCATCAATGATCATGAGGAAGGTGAGGGATCAGCCCAGAACTACACGGCAGGACCTGGTCAATGACCTGAAGAGAGCTGGGACCACAGTCTCAAAGAAAACCATTAGTAACACACTACGCCGTCATGGATTAAAATCCTGCAGCGCACGCAAGGTCCCCCTGCTCAAGCCAGCGCATGTCCAGGCCCGTCTGAAATTTGCCAATGACCATCTGGATGATCCAGAGGAGGAATGGGAGAAGGTCATGTGGTCTGATGAGACAAAAATAGAGCTTTTTGGTCTAAACTCCACTCGCCGTGTTTGGAGGAAGAAGAAGGATGAGTACAACCCCAAGAACACCATCCCAACCGTGAAGCATGGAGGTGGAAACATCATTCTTTGGGGATGCTTTTCTGCAAAGGGGACAGGACGACTGCACCGTATTGAGGGGAGGATGGATGGGGCCATGTATTGTCGAGATCTTGGCCAACAACCTCCTTCCCTCATTAAGAGCATTGAAGATGGGTCGTGGCTGGGTCTTCCAGCATGACAACAACCCGAAACACACAGCCAGGGCAACTAAGGAGTGGCTCCGTAAGAAGCATCTCAAGGTCCTGGAGTGGCCTAGCCAGTCTCCAGACCTGAACCCAATAGAAAATCTTTGGAGGGAGCTGAAAGTCCGTATTGCCCAGCGACAGCCCCGAAACCTGAAGGATCTGGAGAAGGTCTGTATGGAGGAGTGGGCCAAAATCCCTGCTGCAGTGTGTGCAAACCTGGTCAAGACCTACAGGAAACGTATGATCTCTGTAATTGCAAACAAAGGTTTCTGTACCAAATATTAAGTTCTGCTTTTCTGATGTATCAAATATTTATGTCATGCAATAAAACGCAAATTAATTACTTAAAAATCATACAATGTGATTTTCTGGATTTTTGTTTTTCCGTCTCTCACAGTTGAAGTGTACCTATGATAAAAATTACAGACCTCTACATGCTTTGTAAGTAGGAAAACCTGCAAAATCGGCTAGTGTATCAAATACTTGTTCTCCCCACTGTATATTTATGTTTGATTAATGTACCTTTCTTTTGAGTCATTTTGAATTAAATCCATCATTCTCTAATACGTTTAAGAACCTTTGTTTAGCATTGATAAAGCATAACATGGCTGCATGGGATTTATACTAATGCGACTCTGTGCAGCCAATGACAATTTCCGCGACAGGTATAATGCCAGGAGCCGCTTGTGTATTTGACAGCTCTAACCCAGTTCCACCTCCGACACGTCAAAACAACAGCTATGTGGAAGTCGGCTAGTGCGATCTGATTGAATCTAGCCCAAAGTCTAGTTAAAGAGCATAATACAGTGCATTTGGAAAGTATTCAGACCCCTTCACTTTCTCCACATTATGTTACATTACAGCCTTATTCTAAAATTGATTAAATTTGTTTTATCCTCATCAATCTACACAATACCCTATAATGACAAAGCAAAAACAGTTTTTTTTAAAATGTTTTCAAATTTATTTGCTCTGACACAAATGTATTTACTCTTACTCTGACACATTATCTGTTTCTTCATATTATTTCCAATCAAAATTACACTGAGCCCCTACAGTGAAGGCACAAGTTATGAGGACTTCAGTGCATTCACACCGGAAGTCATCTACCTGGTGTAAAATCGTTGGATGACAGGAAAGACAAGCTGTGATTTTGTTTCTAGAATTGAACTAGAGCCATTTGGCAATTAACCCTTAGGCACAAAGTCATCCAATGCTGGCAATGTTTTCTATGTACTTTTCAAACCAATTACTGACAGAAAACAGACTGATTTCGCATAATTTGGATCTAGTGCAAATAAATAATTATGGTATTAAATTGATCTTATATCCAGTTCATAGGTTGGAAAGGTTACACCAAAATCTGCCTCACTTGTATTAGCAGCAGTGGCAGTGGGTAAGTTAGATTTGAGTGGGTGGAGATTTCACTAGGACCAATTGAATGGTCTAAAATGAGAAAACCCTGCCTACCCAGGGAACCGGCATGGTATACTGATGATTTCTCGGAACTGATGGCTTCTACGGTAAGATGGAGTACATTTTAGCTAAGCCTAACCCTTTTCCTAACCTTAACCTAATTCTCCTAACCTGCTACATTAATTATTATTACCTGCCATGTTAATTCTCCTAACCTGCTACGTTAATTATCCTAACCTGCTACGTTAATTCTCCATCTAGCCACAACCGTGGAAGCCATTAGTTCCAAGAAACTATCAGTGTCACCACACTGGGCCATGCAAAACAAACTTGGCCTATGTTAATGGACATAAGCCACCTGGCTTACATTTCTAACAGATAGATGAACCCAGAACATGTATAATGTTGGTAAAAGATCAAATACATAAAAAATATCCTGTTAAAAAATAAAACATTTATGTTTACATCTACCGATAATGACACAAAGCTTGGAATGGAATGTTATTTTTGATGATGGAATGGAATGCAATGTTGATAGTTGACAATTCAAACGTAATTTTCCCTAAGCAGTTGTGCATTTACATTTGCATGACATTTTGCTCGATAAAAAAACATTTAGCATTTTATCTGATTCTAAAGCCACCTTTATACCTTGCGCTAACATGCATCCAGTGTCTACATACAGTGGACGGATAAGAGACACATTTTTGTGTCGACGGAACAGACCTTGATCAGATAGTGATTTGATCATCTTGATCGGATGACGACCACATGTTAATGCAAGGTGTAACCAGGACTTAAGAGGTCTTGCATGTCCATTGAGTCCAACCGCCAAAGACAAATATTAATTAAGAGATGCCTAAAGGAAGCTATCTCAACAGCAGCTGTTTTCACCATTGCTTCGAGTTAAGAAATCAATATCAGTACAGCAGAAAAACCTGGCTAAAAGTTAATAAAATATACCACGAGAATGCCTTATTTCTTCAAACATTGAATTATGAAGTGAAATGTGTCATCCCTTTTCAGTTGCAGTTGTTGGAGAAAGTGCCATCATCTGTGTTTGTGGTGAGATGGTGACATTGAAAGGGGCGAGGGTAGAAATATATGCCTAAGATGGCTGATGTTCACATATTGAACATCAACACACACATGCTCACATTCATAGATGCTCTGACAAACACACAGACATTCATAGATGCAGTGAAAAAACACATGCATTCTTTCTCACATTCATAGATTCACAGACATGTACACTACATCGCACACTCACACACATACTGTACACACACACACCTGTACAAAGCGATGGAGTGTAGGCTATTCTGGAGTTTTACTGTTCCTCTTCCTGTTCCTTAGCCTGGGCCTGAGCAAGGGCTTTCTCTGCACTGGACGAGCCCTCGAAGCGCTGCGAGGCGATGGCCGCTTGGTGGGACATGCTCTTCTTCACTATGTCCCCCTTCCTCCACAGAGTGATCTCCTAGAACAAGGCAATAAAACAGAGCAGTGTTAATTAGGCACCAAACTGACAAAAACAGAATGAAACAGGGAGAGACTACCTGGACTTGTCCAATAAGAATGTTCATTGTTATTTTCCGTTGCGCTAATGAACACATCCCAGTTTAACTACTGCACTCACTAACACACAACCTACTTGTAGTGGTGTACACCTCATGTTACAATTCAGTATGGTGTGATACAGGTATGATAGGACCTCTATTTGGTGTCCTTTCTTTACATCCACAATACAAATCAATGTATTGTTACAGCCCTACTGTTACACAGCACTCATACACAGAGTTGAAATGAACAATGTGCTGACCTTGACCATTGATATGAACCAGAAATTAGTCACCAATTAGATCAAATAGAACAACAGCACCTACATACCTGCCATTCTATCTCTACCATGTGTTTACTGTTTTTACTGTCTCTACTGTGTGTCTGCATGTACCTGCTGTTTGAAGTAACGCCTCTCCTCCTCGTCTATGAGCACCAGGTTGAGGTAGTACCGCACAGAGTACTTCTTGTTGATGTCCCTCATTGTAGGAGTCATCTCATAGCCAGCCAGGAATAGTCGGATAGGGATGGACTCCCCTGAAAGACAAAAGCCATACTATTAAAGTGATAGTTCATTGTAAAATATATGTTTTTGTCAGACGTTTTCAGTCCACGTCCCATGCCCATCGTTTGTGTAAATACAGTGTGGAGGCTAGTAAAAAGAGAAACCACAGGATGGGCTCATTGTAATGGCTGGAATAAAGTGAATGGAAAACTATCAAACATATAGTTCCATTCCAACCATTAGAATGAGCCCTTCCTCTGATTTCTCCTTCCACCAGCCTCCACTGGTTGTCGATGCCACTTACCTCTCACTGGTGCTCCGTCCATAATCTCGTACTTGGCTATGGTGTCGTTCTCATGGTACACATTTGGGCCTGTGCCAGTCGTTTCTCGCTTGATGATGTCAATCTCCATGTGTCTGATCTTGATCCGTACCAACAGGAAGTAAATCTTCCCCACGATTACATCTTTTAGGTGGTATCTGCATTAAAGGGACAGTTAACAGTTAAATGGACTGTTTAGATTACATATTTAGGTATTGGTTTCCTTACCTTGAAAGCAGTCTATGGACAAGGAGAGACCGAAATCCACATTTTGGTTTTGATTAACTAGCCACTTTCATCAAATGCTAATAAACAGTAATGACAGAAGTTGTCATAACAAGTACTTTGACAATGTTTCACTCAAACTGGTCACTGTTTAATTTGTGACATAAGCTACTTCAAATGTCCTATTACATTCAGATGGTTTTTCCTCACAAATCATATGATACAGCACTACAGCACTATCAACAAGGCAGGTCCTACAGGCCCTAGTTTTGTCGCACCTGGACTACTGTTCAGTCGTGTGGTCAGGTGCCACAAAAAGGGACTTAGGAAAATTGCAATTGGCTTAGAACAGGGCAGCACGGCTGGCCCTTGGATATACACAGAGAGCTAACATCAATAATATGCATGTCAATCTCTCCTGCTCAAAGTGGAGGAGAGATTGACTTTATCTCTACTTGTATTTATGAGAGGTATTGACATGTTGAATGCACCGAGCTGTCTGTTTGAACTACTGGCGCACAGCTCGGACACCCATGCATACCACACAAGACATGCCACAAGAGGTCTCTTCACAGTCCCCAAGTCCAGAACAGACTATGGGAGGCGCACAGTACTACAGTGAGGGAAAAAAAGTATTTGATCCCCTGCTGATTTTGTACGTTTGCCCACTGACAAAGACATGATCAATCTATAATTTTAATGGTAGGTTTATTTGAACAGTGAGAGACAGAATAACAACAACAAAATCCAGAAAAACGCATGTCAAAAATGTTATAAATGTATTTGCATTTTAATGAGGGAAATAAGTATTTGACCCCTCTGCAAAACATGACTTAGTACTTGGTGGCAAAACCCTTGTTGGCAATCACAAAGGTCAGACTTTCTTGTAGTTGGCCACCAGGTTTGCACACATCTCAGGAGGGATTTTGTCCCACTCCTCTTTGCAGATCTTGTCCAAGTCATTAAGGTTTCGAGGCTGACGTTTGGCAACTCGAACCTTCAGCTCCCTCCACAGATTTTCTATGGGATTAAGGTCTGGAGAGTGTGCTCCTAATCTCAGCTTGTTACCTGTATAAAAGACACCTGGGAGCCAGACATCTTTCTGATTGAGAGGGGGTCAAATACTTATTTCCCTCATTAAAATGCAAATAAATTTATAACATTTTTGACATGCGTTTTTCTGAATTTTGTTGTTGTTATTCTGTCTCTCACTGTTCAAATAAACCTACCATTAAAATTATAGACTGATCATGTCTTTGTCAGTGGGCAAACGTACAAAATCAGCAGGGGATCAAATACTTTTTTCCCTCACTGTACATAGAGCCATGACTGCATGGAACTCTATTCCACATCAAATAACTGATGCAAGCAGTACAATTAGATTTAAAAAACAGATAAAAATACACCTTATGGAACAGCGGGACCGTGAAGCAACACAAACATAGGCACAAACACATGCATACACACACACGATAACATACGCACTATTCACACACGTACACATGGATTTTGTACTGTAGATATGTGGTGGTGGTGGAATAGGGGCCTGAGAGCACACAGTGTGTTGTGAAATCTGTGAATGTATTGTAATGTTTTTAAAATTGTATAACTGCCTTAATTTTGCTGGACCCCAGGAAGAGTAGCTGCTGCCTTGGCAGCAGCTAATGGGGATCCATAATAAATACAAAATATAAACACGCTATTAGCATAGGGGTTTAGGGAAGTTGAACCAGGGAGACTTAAGTTTGACATCACTAAAGCTCTGCTATCTCACCATTCAAAAACAGGAATATCGCAAGCCTTCCAATCAATTTTTTCAAATATGATAAACCATGGTAACAGAGTCATACTTGGACTTGTTGTACTCAAACTCAATGTGTAGACAGTCTTCGATTCCCACTTCCATCTTGATCGACGAGTTGAGTTCTGGGTATGTGCTGAGCGTGTGCACGACAATGTCCATCTCTTTACTGATGTCGTTCAGTCTCCGGCTTATCGTTGCCCTCAGAAAGTAGCTGAAATATGAAAGAGAAGAGCCAGAAAATCAACTCATCTACTTATTGGGTATCAATGTATGATGCACAAAGAACAATTCAGAAAGTCTCCAATAACGCTGATAGGAGTCAAATTCTACCCATAAAGACCACAAATAGCTGGTGAGACATAGTAGAAATCACGTGAAGTCTGTGCTTTGATATAACTGTATTTGCACTTCACTCTAAAGACAAATTATACTCTCAAGTTAACATATTTGACATATGTACAGAAGTTAAGCTACTGTAGATATACACTCTACTGGAGACATCGGAAATGGCAATTCTCTAGACTGGGCTCCAATCTATCTCTATTTTCAGATTCTATTATTTCTGTTTCTATTTCCTTATAGATAACAACTATAATGCATTTATTACTAGGCGATAGAAATACCAGTGAAATCGCATTTAGTGATGGAACTCAAATTGTGTGTGAGGGTAATTGATTTTGACCTATAATGTTGTGCACCAAATGGTTCATGCATGGTTTGTTGCCAGCTACTTGCTTACCGTAATTTGACATTCTGGCCTGTGTAGGACTCATATGGTTTCTCCACGTGTGTGAACTCAAAGTCGAAGGTCTGGGACTGCGTTAGCTCTCCCGGTCTGGCCAAGTCTTTAACCAGAGACACAAACTCATGGTGGTTTCCCCTGTCGTAGTACAGCTCTGACAAGAGAGAAATGGTTGTTAGTGTCACCAGTTTTCAATGGTGAAAGAGAATCTAGAACAGTTTACAGATGACTTTCTATCCCTTTAAAAGGCATTACATATAGTGTAAATAGATTCAAGGTAATGCTACAAATGACTACTGGTTACTATTCCCCCTCAGGAGACTAAAAAGATTTGGCATGGGTCCTCAGATCCTCAAAAAATTCTACAGCTGCACCATCGAGAGCATCCTGACTGGTTGCATCACCGCCTGGTATGGCAACTGCTTGGCCTCTGACCGCAAGGCACTACAGAGGGTAGTGCGTACGGCCCAGTACATCACAGGGGCAAAGCTCCCTGCCATCCAGGACCTCTATACCAGGCGGTGTCAGAGGAAGGCCCTCAAAATTGTCAAAGACTCCAGTCACCCTAGTCATAGACTGTTCTCTCTGCTACCGCACGGCAAGCGGTACCGGAGTGCCAAGTCTAGGTCCAAAAGACTTCTCAACAGCTTCTACCCCCAAGCCATAAGACTCCTGAACAGCTAATCATGGCTACCCGGACTATTTGCACTGCCCCCCCACCCCATACTTTTTACGCTGCTGCTACTCTGTTAAGTATTTATGCATAGTCACTTTAACTCTACCCACATGTACATATTACCTCAACTACCTCAACTAGCCGGTGCCCCCGCACATTGACTATGCAACGGTACCCCCCTGTATATAAAGCCTCCCTACTGTCACTTTATTCTATTGTATATATAGCCTCCCTACTGTCACTTTATTTTTACTTCTGCTCTTTTTTTCTCAACACTTTTTTGTTGTTGTTTTATTCTTACTTTTTTGTTTAAAATAAATGCACTGTTGGTTAAGGGCTATAAGTAAGCATTTCACTGTAATGTCTGCACCTGTTGTATTCGGCGCATGTGACCAATAAAATTTGATTTGATTTGATTTGCATCTTACAAGTGTGTAATAACGTTTATTACAATGTAACTATAAAGGACCTATGATATAGGCCTACAGTTAAGTTCAAGTGTAACTGACAGGTGAAGTTAGTATCATGATTCTCACACATCTCTGAACTTCTGACCAGGCAGATAACTAATCTACTGTAGGAGAGTTTCTGTGGCACAATAGTGCTTCTGTTGATCACTTATATCACAGCCAACCACAGGTCACTACGTTTTAACCCGTGCCCAAGCAGCGTGCAGTGAATAGCCAAATGAGCATGGCATGGCTTAATGCTTCACTCATCGACTAAAACGTTTTATATCAATTGTAACATCCTCAAAGCAAGCCAAAGGCCAGCTGGTGATAACATGCATTTATCTCTCAACGGGCGTCACCCGCGGCACATAAATGTCAGACGATTTGGGTCTGGGTCGAGCTACAGTTGCAACATTGATCAATCAATCGACACAGATAGTTAATTTAATCAGCTTGACAATTCATTAGGATGACAACATCATGAATAGAGACTTCTTAATCGAAGTAAATTCATTTTTGCGCCATGGATAATTCTGTAGCTTATTTAGTTATTTTGGTAGTGACAACCCAAAGACAGGCCTGCTGTGTCACACACTTACCAATCTGCCCAATAAACTCGATTTTGATGCCTTGGTGCTCGAGTCTTTTCCCTGGATTCTTAAGTGTTACGTTGACTTTTCCAGATACTGTCTCGCCATCAAATAACAGAAAATATTTGTCCTTTTTCCCATCCTCGGTCTTATGCTCAGCTTTTTTTCTTGTCTCGGCGTCATTCAAAACTATATCGATTTCTGCACTTTGGCCAAAACTAAAGAAACTCATCACTGGACCTTGTTTCAGAGCCTATACCTTTTTCAACAAGCCTTTGTAGATTCTACATGTACAACAAAACTCTTACGTTACTGTATTCCAAATGCTTCCTACGAGTGATTTCCCCCGGAATTTAGATTGTGCTGTCCTATGATGCGAAACTAAATGGGGCGATAGTTGAATGTTTCTAATTACAGCAGTATAGCAATGCCCACTGTAGCGCTTCCTCGTTAAATGCGCATGCGTGTAAATGCAGGCTCAGGATCAGTGCAGTGTGCATTGAAATTCCGATTTTCTACAGATAGAAATGTCCAAATCATTTTGGATAGCTATAGCCAACTTCACACTGATACCATATCAGATCATAGAGAAATATTGACATTTTCAAATGTGTTAATTTTGGTTCATTGAAATTCTTGTGTTTTTCCTGACCCCCTTGCTCAATTAATGTATTTATTATCCATTATAGCTTGAAGAAAGGAACCACATATGTCAAGAAAAATTATTATATTCTATATGTGGCTAAATGAAACAATGCAAATAGTCTGGGTTGCCATTTGATTAGCTGTTCAGGAGTCTTACGGCTTGGGGGTAGAAGCTGTTATGAAGCCTTTTGGACCTAGACTTGGCGCTCCGGTACCACTTGCCGTGTGGTAGAAGAGAGAACAGTCTATGGCTAGGGTGGCTGGAGTCGAACCATTTTTAGGGCCTTCCTCTGACACCGCCTGGTATAGAGGTCCTGGATGGCAGGAAGCTTTGCCCCAGTGTTGTACGGGGCCATACGCACTACCCTCTGTATTGCGTTGCGGTCGGAGGCCGAGCAGTTGCCATACCAGGCATTGATGCAACCAATCAGGATGCTCTCGATGGTGCAGCTGTATAACTTTTTGAGGATCTGAGAACCCATGCCAAATCTTTTCAGTCTCCTGAGGGGGAATAGGCTTTGTCGTGCCCTCTTCACGACTGTCTTGGTGTGTTTGGACCATGACAGTTTGTTGGTGATGTGGACACCAAGAAACTTGAAGCTCTCAACCTGCTCTACTACAGCCCCGTTGATGAGAATGGGGGCGTGTTCGGTCCTCCTTTTCCTGTAGTCCACAATCATTTCCTTTGTCTTGATCACGTTGAGGGAGAGGTTGTTATCCTGGCACCACATGGCCAGGTCTCTGACCTCCTTCCTATAGGGTGTCTCATCGTTGTCGGTGATCAGGCCTACCACTGTTGTGTTGTCGGCAAACTTAATGATGGTGTTGGAGTCGTGCCTGGCCATGCAGTCATGGGTGAACAGGGAGTACAGCAGGGGACTGAGCACGCACCCCTGAGGGGTCCCTGTGTTGAGGATCAGCGTGGCAGATGTGTTGTTACCTACCCTTACCACCTGGGGGCGGCCCGTCAGGAAGTCCAGGATCCAGTTGCAGAGGGAGGGTCCTTAGCTTTGTGATGAGCTTTGAGGGCACTTTGGTGTTGAACGCTGAGCTGTAGTCAATGAATAGCATTCTCACGTAGGAGTTCCTTTTGTCCAGGTGGGAAAGGCAGTGTGGAGTGCAATAGAGATTGCATCATCTGTGGATCTGTTGGGGCGGTATGCAAATTGCAGTGGGTCTAGGGTTTCTGGGATAATGGTGGGATAAAGCGTCAATACAGGACTAAGATTGAATTGTACTACACCGGCTCCGATGCTCGTCGAATGTGGCAGGGCTTGCAAACTAATACAGACTACAAAGGGAAGCACAGCCTCGAGCTGCCCACTGACATGAGCCTACCAGATGAGCTAAATTACTTATATGCTCGCTTCGAGGCAAGCAACACTGAAGCATGCATGAGAGCATCAGCTGTTCCGGACGACTGTGTGATCATGCTCTCCGTAGCCGATGTGAATAAGACCTTTAAACAGGTCAACATTCACAAGGCCGCAGGGCCAGATGGATTACCAGGAGGTGTAATCCGAGCATGCCCTGACTAATTTGCAAGTGTCTTCACTGACATTTTCAACCTGTCCCTGACTGAGTCTGTAATACCAACATGTTTCAAGCAGACCACCATAGTCCCTGTGCCCAAGAACACTAAGGTAACCTGCCTTAATGACTACAGACCCGTAGCACTCACGTCTGTAGCCATGAAGTGCTTTGAAAGGCTGGTCATGGCTCACATCAATACCATTACCACAAAAACCAGAGGTGCCTTATTGCTATTATGAACTGGTTACCAACGTAATTAGAGCAGTAAAAATACATGTTTTGTCATACCCGGGGTATACGGTCTGATGTACCACGGCTGTCAGCCAATCAGCATTCAGGTCTCAAACCACCCAGTTTATAAAAATAGATATGTCAGCCAGAGCTCTCAGCGTCAGATTCTGCGCAATTTCGACGCAAAATGTCTGTCGGAAATACAACCGAAGATTATGTAAATCAAGCGCGCGCAGCGGCGCGCTTGCAGAGGAGTTGGCGGGTTTATTCAAAGAAAGATGGAGTTAATACAGGCACTAGATTTTCTGAAATTGAGTGAAGTCTCCGGAGGTAAGTCCTCGTTTCAATGAATAGGTTTATAGAATTAGTACGGAAAATAACAATTGGCTTGCTTATATTATTGATATTTTAACGAATTAGCTGTGCTAAATTGCAAGAAAACCGATGCTAGTTAGCTACCGCTAGCGTGAACGCCTGACGTGACGTGTGTTGTTATGCCTGTTTTGATTTGCTAGCTAGCTTGTTTTGCTAACCAGCTAGCTACTGTTAGCTCCTAATATGTTAAATCTCACCAACTTCAATGATGTGAACTTATATAACACTTCACCAAGACTATTATGGCAGATTTGATCTACTTAGTTAGTTACATTTTATTGTTATAATAACACTGTGACCGTGCAGTTCCATTTGTTACTTGCCAAATTCACTTGAACATTTCAGAATTTAAAAATAAATGTCAAACTCTGGCATTTTATTTTGAGGAACATAACAAATAAAAAATAGTTAGAGGGTTTACCTAATATAATTATCTCACAACATTCACATAATATAATTATCTCACATTTACCTACAACACTGATGACTTATTATTATTATTATTATTATGACTTGACAAAGTATCATCATGATGTAACGTTAGGCCTAAGAATAAGCGGTGTTTTAAATACAGTAACGTTAGGCCTACTCATGATCTAACGCTAACATTTTTCTGATTTCTCATCTAAATCGATGTTTTATAGGTAACTTTACTGATGTTTGTGACTTCTGAATGTAATGCAAATTGTTAGATGATTGCAAGTGCCTATGTCACTTAGTAATAGTATAGGGCGATTCCATGCCAGCGGGGTAACTTTATCTCAGATTCTTGTTCTGGCAATTCTCACATAGAAACTTCATTTACATTTACGTCATTTAGCAAAACTTCATTGAAGGAAGCATATTTGAAATGATTTTTGCGTTTGTATCACAAACCATTTTTGAGAAAATCATGAATGACCATTTTAGGCCCTTTTTAGACATATAGTACATGCCTCCTGTAAGACCCTATGATCTGTAAGCCGTACATGATACAGACAACATATTTGTGTCATCGTTATACTCCGTATAGTGTGCACTGTGCTCTAACATATGGATTATGTCTAGATTCTGAAATACACATTTTCACATTAATTTCTTCAACATTCAAACTATTCATATGACTATCTCAACTACCCTTTTTGATTTAGCTTGTTTTTAGACATATTGTTTGAAACAATATACTCTTCAAACGCATACAATTTCTAGAGTGGGCTCTCTGGTACTTATAATGGTATGACCTATTTTATACATAGAAATTGACATTATAGGTCATCATCCAATCACAGCCCTCCTTTAGAATTGCACATTCAGCAAATCACCAGCAGGGGGAGTTCCCTTAGAATCCATTTACCATTCACTGTGTTGGTGGTGCTCATAAAATTGATCAGAACTTTAGATTTAGCAGAGAGCGTATATATTGTTCAAAACAATACGTCTTAAAATAAACAAAATCAAAAAGGGTAGTTTGAGATATTCATATGACTTTTTTAAATGTTGAATAAATTAATGTGAATGTGTATTTCAGAATCTAGAGTAGACATACTCCATATGTTAGAGTACACTATAAGGAGTATGATGACCAAGATGTTGTCTGCATCATGTACTGTTCACGGATCATAAGGACTTACAGGAGGCATGCATAAGTCTAAAAATTGCCAAAAATTGCCACTTTATTCATGATTTTATGAAGTGTTTTTTAATACACATTTTAAAAGCATGTCAAACGTCCTGTCTCCCATTTGAAGTTCCTATGTGAGCATTGCCAGAACAATCTGAGATGCCAAAAACATTTTACGCTCCAGCTGCCGTGGAATCGCCCCATGATAGCTAGCTGATTATTATCATGTCAAGTCAGTCTTGCATTCATTGTTCAGAGTTTGGGGTCAAGTAAAGAGTTGAAACTAATATTCATTGGTCTTTTTTGTGCAGGTTGGGTTGATGCTGTGTGGGATTTTGAATTCACTGAAACTGAACCACTGGATGCTGCCATTGTCATAAAAAATGGATCCAAGGATTTCAAAATGTTGTACAGGCACCTGCTACCCTATATGATGGACACTGAGGTGTCCACTGTAGGAACTGATGGCACATCACAAGTAAGAACTGTTTTAGTAAAAGAGTTTAGCTTGCAAATTGCATTGTCTTTTCTGTTTAGCTGTCCCTAACGTCAAGTACTTGTAGCATACTCCTTTAAAGCTGTAATTGTAATGTTGAAACTGCCAGGTCCATTTGGGATATTACAACAACAAAGAAGTTACTGCAAACAGTGGGGTGTACATCTACATTATAATAAAAAATGGTGCAGTGGAGGCCACGATTTAGCAGCGCGGTGCGCCACTGCTAAATGCGTATAGGGGAAACACTGAATGATTATGATAATTTACAGATGGGTTTGAATTGAAAGTTGGGAACTTTTCGGTTACAGAGAAGCAATCCATAGAATGTACTCTGATTCATCATCAATCAATCAATTTTATTTTATATAGCCCTTCTTACATCAGCTAATATCTCGAAGTGCTGTACAGAAACCCAGCCTAAAACCCCAAACAGCTAGTAATGCAGGTGTAGAAGCACGGTGGCTAGGAAAAACTCCCTAGAAAGGCGAAAACCTAGGAAGAAACCTAGAGAGGAACCAGGCTATGAGGGGTGGCCAGTCCTCTTCTGGCTGTGCCGGGTGAAGATTATAACAGAACCATGCCAAGATGTTCAAAAATGTTCATAAGTGACAAGCATGGTCAAATAATAATCAGGAATAAATCTCAGTTGGCTTTTCATAGCCGATCATTAAGAGTTGAAAACAGCAGGTCTGGGACAGGTAGGGGTTCCATAACCGCAGGCAGAACAGTTGAAACTGGAATAGCAGCAAGGCCAGGCGGACTGGGGACAGCAAGGAGTCACCACGGCCGGTAGTCCCGACGTATGGTCCTAGGGCTCAGGTCTCTCAGTTGGCTTTTCATAGCCGATCATTAAGAGTTGAAAACAGCAGGTCTGGGACAGGTAGGGGTTTCGTAACCGCAGGCAGAACAGTTGAAACTGGAATAGCAGCAAGGCCAGGCGGACTGGGGACAGCAAGGTGTCATCATGCCCGGTAGTCCTGACGATATATCATCCCCCTGATTCCGTGATTGTATTTTTAGAGTGTCTGGACAGTGTTCGGTGACAATGGGGTCTCTGTCAAGTCACTTGTGGCGGTGCTGTCGTACTTTGTCCTGGGAGGGAAGTCCAAAACAGCCAGCGTTGAGCAAAGGATAAGCGCTCTTCAGGCATCCTCCCTCTACGTACTGCTACTGGGAATCCCAGGTATGTTCTGTACTAAGTAAAATTCAGAACCATGTTTGATTAGGACCTAATGTGGACAGGTGAAAATAATTTCCTGTGTGCTGGAGGTTACTCTGTGAATGTGTGTTTACTCCGGTCTGTCTATTGGTCTTGCCTTTCTGTTTGTCTTCCACAGGTAGTGTGGTCAACAAAGTGTTCCACCAAATCCTCTTCGACACTTGCTTGAACACCGTGAGCAACTGTTGGCCCCAGAGCTTGGTCAAGAAGCGCAAGAAAGACTCCCTGAAGAGTTCTCAGGCTGACGGGAAACGGTCCAAACCTCACAGGAAAGACAAGGACAATGACGAGGTTTGTCACAGATACACTGGAAATACTCCATTGCCTTTATGTCCAGGCATTTCTCTGTTTTCATACTTGGGGCTGTCTTATCTTACACAATCTTGTATAATGACACTGATCAAATCTCAAAGATCTTTCAATTTTGCCAAGGTTACTCATCTTGTTAATTCTAAAGTGTCTTTGTCTCTCACTCAACAGATGGAAGTAGATGAGGATGAGGAACAGGAGGAGGAGGTCCATTTGTCTCCCCAGGACCTCCTGAAGATCAGAGAGGGAGTCGTCCTCCTGGTGAAAAGCCTCCTCCGGCTCCTCCTAAAATTTCCCTTGAAGGACGAGCCACAGAGTGCAGACAACTGTGTACAGGTACTGCTGGATAGTGCTGGTATCTATAGGCTAGGTGGTTTTGACCTCGCTGTCTATTGAAATGTTGAGCAGTGACACCATTCAAAACTGAATCTTCTTTGTCAACTTTAGATGTTCGCCAAGCTGACTAACTTTGAGCCTGTTATTGGAGAATTGACCTTTGGTGCTGGACAGTAAGTACACAGACATACACACAATCTATTATTCTTTGTGAACTTGAATATTTTCAACATGATTTTTCATTTATTTATTTACTCTGTTTATTTTGTAAAAAACGTTATTGATCTGTGTCCAGGGATATCGATGACATGAGGACAATGCCTGAGTTGGCCTATTACGGATTGTGGTTACTCTGCTCCTCCAATCATGGGGATGAGAAAGTGGTATTGAGGAAAATACATCTACAACACAACTTTCTTGGTCAAAACATTGCTATCTGTCTGCTATCTGCATTGGTACAGACTTACTACCGTAATGAGTTTAAGCTCTGGTTCTTTGTTGTTGAATAGTAAAGTTGAATTGACTTGTCTCCCCAGTCTCTGCGCCGGGTGTTCCACAGAGTCCTCTATGTGATCCTCATGATGAGCAAAGGGGAAAGTGGCAAGCCCTCCCTCATGATGCCCACCCAAGCTGTCCTCGCTGCCCGGGTCCAGGCCATCGGCTTTGTCAGGTAAGGAATGGCAGTTTACGACATGAATCAATAAACACAGGTGGTATTCATTTGGTCCTGGTGGGTGAGGGCTGTGTGGTATGTGAATTGGAGTGGGTCCAGGGTGTCTGGGATGATGGTGTTGATTTGACCTATGACCTGCCTTTCAAAGCATTTCATGGCTTTAGATTTGAGCGCTACCGGGCGATAGTCATTTTCCTTGGTGTTCTTGGGCACGGGGACTATGGTGGTCTGCTTGAAACAAGTTGGTATTACAGACCGGGTCAGGGATAATGTCATTGAAGACACTTGCCAGCTGGTCAGTGCATGCTCTGAGTACTCATCCTGAATTCCATCTGGCCCGCAGCCTTGCGAATGTTAACCTGTTTAAAGGTCTTATTCACATCGGTTAATAAGGCTGATGGAACAGATCTCACAGTTTTCCGGAACAGCTGGTGCTATCATTCATGGTTCAGTGTTACTTGCCTTGACGCGAGCATAGAAGGAATTTAGCTCGTCTGGTAGGCTCGCGTTGCTGGCAGCTCACGGCTGGGTGGCTCGCGGCTGGGTTTCCCTTTGTAATCATTGATAGTTTGCATGCCCTGCCACATTCGTCAAGCGTCAGCCGGCGTAGTATGATTCGATGTTAGTCCTGTATTGATGCTTTGCCTGTTTGAAGGCTTGTCGTAGGTCTTAGCAGGATTTCTTAGAAGCGTCCGGATTAGTGTCCTTGAAAGCGTCAGCTAGCTTTTGGCTCAGTGCGGATATTGCCTGTAATCCATGGCTTTTGATTGCGGTATATACATACGTACTTACGGTCACTGTGGGGATGACATCGTCAATGCACATATTAATGAAGCCGGTGACTGATGTGGTAAACTCCTCAATGTTATTGGATGAATCCCGAAACATATTCCAGTCTTTGCTAGCGGAACAGTCCTGTAGCTTAGCACCGCTTCATCGGACCATTTCCGTATTGAACGTGTCACTGGTACATCCTATTTGACTTTTTGCTTGTAAGTTTGAAGTAGGAGGATAGAGTTATGGTCTGATTTGCCAAAGGAATGGCGGGGGAGGGCCTTGTATGCATTTCTTTGTGTGGAGTGAAAGTGATCTAGAGGTTTGTCACCTCTAGTTGCACATATGACATGCTGGTAACAAGGTAAAACGGATGTCAGTTTCCCTGCATTAAAATCCCTGGCCACGAGAAACGCTGCCTCTGAATGTGCATTTTTCTTGTTTGCTTATGGTGAAGGCAATATGGTGGTCGGATGTAACTCACTGGTGGTCGGATATCACCTGGGAGTATTTGGTTCTACCTGTTCCGTTCTTCACATCAGTACAGACAAAGAATTATGTGGATCGGAAGCTACTTTCATTTGGGATGCACCGATAATGTTTAAAACATAAACATGCACTCCTGAGCTCTGTTGGAGCGTAGGGGTTGATGCGGTAGGGCAGGGGTTCCTAAACCTTTTCACTCCCCCTTCCAGCAATGGAACATTCCGCTCCGCCTCCGTGCATGCGCCCAATGTCTATTTCTATCGGCACAAGCACTGTTCACACCCCTTGCACATTTTGCAGGTTTAAAGCCCATTTCCTGTAATTCTATACATGTCTAATGTGTATTCATGTGATATTTGAGTGACTCAAACATTGCAACAAAATCTATGGGCTAACCAACCTAGCTAAAAAACTTCAGCTGACATGGGCTAGTTGATCTAGACCAGGGGTGTCAAACGTACGGCCCGCGGGCCGGATCAGGCCCGCAAACGGGTTTAATCCGGCCCGCGAGATGATTAAAAAAGATTTTTAAAGTATAAAAATGCGCTGCAATTTTTCTATAAAATAAACCGCTGTTCCAATTGCGTCCACTGGATGGCGCAATAGCAATTGTGTTAAGCAAGCAAACTGTTTATACCGGGGCAGAGCAAGTAGGTCAAGCACGTGCAGCCAATGAGCTACTTTGTTTTGCCTGCGATATTTATTACGGCTTCTACTTTTAACATTATGTGCTTTGGCACCCTCATTGCCCCAATATGTCTCTGTCAAAAAAGAGAAAAGTGGACGCAGAGTGCAGAGTGTTCCAAGAAAAATGGTCATCCTATTTAATCACGGAATTGAATGGGAAAGCTGTATGTTTGGTGTGTTCAGAGAATGTTGCAGTGCTGAAAGAATATAACCTTCGTCGCCACTGTGAGTCTTCATGCCGACAAATATGACAACTTTCAAGGACAGCGGAGATGAGAGAAGGTGAATGAACTGTTGGCGGGTCTGAAGAAACAGCAGTCTGTGTTTACTCACAGCCGAGACATCAGTGACGCTGCAGTGAAAGCTAGCTACCTCATTGCTAATGAAATCGCAGTGGCTTCAAAACCATTTAGTGAGGGTGAATTTGTAAAAACATGCATGATGAAGGCAGCGGAGATTGTGTGCCCTGAAAAGCGGAAGGCTTTTGCAAATATCAGCCTGACAAGAAACACAGTTGCAGACAGGATTTCCGATCTTTCAGTGGATTTGGACAGCCAGTTGAAGCAAAAAGTAAAGTAATTTATTGCGTTTTCGGTTGCAATTGATGAAAGCACGGACATTACAGATGTTGCACAACTGGCCATTTTTTCATCCGCGGAGTTGATGACACATTGACCGTCACCGAGGAGTTCGTGGAGTTGGTGCTGATGACAGATACAACGACAGCAGCTGATATTTTTACCGCACTTGTCGGCGTGCTGGACAGGGTCGGAGTGGACTGGTCCCGCGCTGTCAGCCTGGCTACAGATGGTGCGCCCTCAATGATCGGGAAAAAAGCAGGCGTTGTGACAAAGTTCAGAGAGAAAGTGCAATCTGCAAATGGAGGACGTGATTTTTTGACTTTTCACTGTATTTTGCACCAGGAGGCTTTGTGTTGCAAGTCATTAAAGATGGATAACGTCATGAAGGTGGTCATCCAAACTGTTAATTTCATCCGATCCAGAAGCCTGAATCACCGTCAGTTTGACAGCCTTCTCAGAGAGAAAGACCACATCTATGGCCTGCCATACCACACTGAGGTAAGATGGTTAAGCCGAGGTGCTGTGCTGAGGCGTTTCTTTGATTTACGAGAAGAAATTGAACAGTTCATGGAAGAAAAGGGCAAACCAGTGTTAGAATTTCATTCCGCAGAATGGATGCCGGACCTTGCATTTATGGTGGATGTTACAGAGCACCTGAATAACTTGAACAAACAGCTGCAAGGGCGCAACAAAGTTGTCACGCAGTATTATGACAGCATACGTTCTTTCAAGTTGAAGCTGTCATTGTGGGAGACGCAACTTGCCGGTGGTGATGCAGCTCACTTCCCCTGTCTGAAAAATGTGTGCGCGACCCAACATGTGGCAGACATGAAGCGGTTCAAAGATAAAATAACTGGACTGTTACGGGAGTTTGAGCAACGCTTTCAGATTTATGTTTATATGTTTTTATGTTGATGTGCTATTGTTTTTAATTGATTTTATTTTATTTGTATATTTAACCTATTCTTGACTCTGTGGTTCTTGCACTTGTTTGGGGAACAGGATTTCATTATTTTTATCTACATTTCTGCCTGAGAAATGACACCCTGATATAGTTCTGTGATCTGTGAAACAGTTCTGTTAATCACTGAGGCATTGTGTGTTTGTGTGTTCTTTTTCTTTAGAATTTTCAAATAAACTTGACATGTTTTATGATTAATAGTGATGTTGTGCTTGTACTATTTTGGACACACTGTCCTCAGGCTCCAGCTTTATGTTGTATGTTGATCGTATTAAAACAAAGAAAACAATCTGAAGTTGTTGTTTTTAAGTTATATATACCATGATTTTTCCGGTCCGGCCCACTTGGGAATAGATTTTCCTCCATGTGGCCCCTGAGCTAAAATGAGTTTGACACCCCTGATCTAGACATTTATGACAAGTTATAAATGGCTCTCTAAGGTATGCAATGACTGACATGACGAGGAAAACTTATGATGCACTACCTAATTTTGAAATTGCGACTTGTACTTTCTACTATTACAACTTTCAAGAATAAGTTGAAAGCCGGACTGAGTTCCTTCACATTTTTTTTTCTCCAAATGTATTAAATTGTTTTTGGGGGGGGATCCTCGTGCCCTGCCTGGCGCGCCCCACAGTTTTGGAACGACTGCGATAGGGGATCAGTTTGTTTTCCCCTCTACCTGTATGTATGTAGAATCTTTAACCCCCCTCAAAAAAAACAACATAATAAAATAATAACATGCACTCCTGTATGGACTTATAGAACCCTTGAAGTTTTTTGTTTGCAGTTTGAAATGCATATCGCTAGGTGCTGTAACGGATCTCACCCTATGTGTCTCATCATAGTCACGTTGTTGATGAACTGAAAGAGCCAGCACTGCCATTCCTACGGATCCTCCTGCAGCACATATGCTTCCGGGTAAAACTACATTAACTTGAAAATGAAATCCATACAATTGAGTCAATTCAGAACTAATTCAAGCTCTCAAAGAGAATTTACTCATAAAGACATTGGATCACATTAGATAATAGCTTTGTCCTGGCATGGATTTTCCAGATGGTGGACAAGACAGACTACCGTACGCATGGGGCCCAGGCCGTGGCCAAGCTGCTGACCAAAATGCCCTGTGCAGACTACATGTCATTTATCAAGTGGTTGTTTGATTACTCCAGACAATCAAAGGTAAGCTCTGTCACGTATGACTTAGTTGGGCTTTGAGCTGTTGGCTTTGAACTGCACCTGAACTTGGTCTAATCTTTCTGCTGTCTTCCCCCAGGTGGCGTACCGGATGTTTGCTCTGGACGTGGCCATGGCTCTGCTGGAACAGCCAGAGAGGGAAGCAAATGAAAATGTGGACCCAGAACTAGTCTCCTTCCTGCCCCACAGGTTCCTGGTCCACAACATGGTGTTTGGCCGTCGCTCAGACGCTTCGCCCACAGTCCGAGGCCACGCCCTCACCTGCCTGTCCCAGTGCCTGGAGCTGCCCTCCATGAACGCCACACGCAGCGTCAAAGAGCTCTTCTCCACCAGTGAGAGTCACACACACATTCACTCTCACACAAACAAACACGTATGCATGTATGTGCACATGCACAAATCACCGAATACTAGTTGCATACTAAACTGTAGTTTGTCATTTCTATCAATTTTAGCATCTGCGCAGACTGTCTTGGAGGTTGACGGATCTGATGGTAATCTCTACAACAGCTTTAAATCCAGTAATACAGTTGGATATTTTTGTTGATGTATTCTTTCTTTCATTGTACAAACTCAATGTGCCCTGCTCCTTTCCTTTTTTAGGCACTTTAAATTCACAGACCACCCAAAAAACTTTCAAGACTTTACCTTTCAAGACTATTGAGATCACAAACAATGACAATGCAAGTTTTGAGTGTAAGTCTATCTTTTTATTTTTTTAAGGCTTTTTAGTTATTTAGTCAAACCATTGTTAGGTAGGACATGATTTCAGTATTTGATGGTAATGTGATGCTTGTGTTTTCTTTAGCAAAGGACACAATGGCTTTACTGAAGCGCCGTGTGAGTGACCCAAAGACCAATGTGAGGAAGTGTGCACTGCAGGTAAGTACTTCAATGTCTTTGTTTAATGTGTGTACTGTTAATGTGTATGCCATTAACCATCTTGAGTCAATTTCTGCGGCCCTGGGAAGTGGAATTAGCATAATAAAAAAATCCCCATTTAAGAAATCTCTGTTAGCAATATCTGGCTTTTTGCATGGGCTGCGTCTCAATTCACTGCATCCGCCGAAATCAGTGAAAGGTGGCAGAGCTACAGTGGTGTTTCAGACCATGAGACGTCCCAAAAATCGGTCTTCTCAAGAAAACATCTGTAGCGTCCGAAGGGTTTGGCCTATACACTTTTATGACCCCTTTATGGAAAGGTGAGACTCTTGAACACGTGCTCTAGGACGCTCACAAGACTCGCCTGAAGGTAGCCTGGTACCAGTTTTAAAACATGAATGAAAGTATATATGGAAGTAGTTTAGTGCCTACAAAAATGGGGTTAAATATGTCTGTCTATGTTTCCTGATCTTTCTTTTCTCAGATATAGGACAGACACTTCAAAACAAACTTCCCCTAAGATTTCTTTGGGGACAGTTTTTCCATGTATGACTCTGTTATTCATTGCATTTATATGGGCTAATAGCAGTAAGGCCAAATTCAATGTTTAATCAAATAATAATAAAAAATACCTGAAGGGGTCCTAGCATTCAAAATCAAATATCTAAATGATTCTTGGTATGACCATAATACAATTCAAAATGTTAGCTTAGTAGAACCACCTCCCCCAAAGGGTTAAAACACAGATTGTGGAACGCACATTTCTTGCTTGTTACTCTTTGCACCTGCTGGGGCAATAGAAGGTGTGCAAATACGACCAACCCCCTCTTTTAAAAAAATCTCACCAACCCTCACTGTGTCCAGGCGATGATGGGCCTGCTGAAGCACAACGTGATCATGCTCAGTGAGGAGAACCTGGCTGTGCTGTCGGAGCGCACCCGTGACCCCGCCCTGTCTGTCAAGAAGAAGGCCCTGCAGTGCCTCATGGACCTCCTCGCTGTGAGTAGCTAGCTCTGTCTGTCTGTCTGGGTGGCACTGCTCACTGCCTGGCCTTCCACTACCCTCTAGTTCATGGTACTGTTGGGGGTACTTGAGGACTGGAGTTGGGAAACACTGCCCTAGTCTAGTTGAGCTTCTGCCATATTGTTAATGAGCAGATCAACGCTTCCATCCTATTCATCTATGGCGCTTCCATGGTCCAGGAAACCGGCTCATAAGGTCTAGGAGCCTTGTAGATCCCTCTCTATCTCTGGCCAGTATAGCCAACTTCAGTCATTCACAATCACTCTCCTCTGTTCTTTTTTCTTTCCTCCATATTTTTCTCATGTCACCCGTGTCTGTGCCTACCCCTCCACTCAGGTCCACCCAGAGAACAGCCTGGTACAGAAGGCGTGGCTGCGGGGCGTGGTGCCGGCCGTGGTGGACGTAGAGAGCTCGGTCCAGGAGAAGGCCCTGGAGTGCCTAGAGCAGACCATCCTCAGCCAGGTGAAGAGCCACGGCTCCTACAGCTACAAGGACGCCCAGCAGACACTGACCTGGGACCTGCTGGGCCTGCTGTGTGACCTCTGCCAGGACCTCGGGTAGGTGCACTTTCATGCTGCTTTCGGGGACTTCATGTTAATTAAAGTGCACCTCCCCACAGCCAATATTATATTAAATATGTATTAATCATACATCTAACATTCAAACAAAAATTTGACCTGAACAATTAACTTCCATAGTGTATCTAAGTTTATTTTATTAAACCTTTGCATTCCTCATCCTCTACAGCCGGTACTTCAGCAGGGCCTTCACAGTGTGGTCCAAGCAGAACAAGTTCACCGCAGCCTTCATCAACGACCTCATCTCTCACACGGAGGCGGAGCACGCGGCCGGGGCGTGGCTACTGCTCTCTAAAGTTGCCAGCTCTTGCCCCCGACTCGACTACGGAAAGATCTTGGACGCCTGGGACGACCTGGTCAGGTCAGTGTGGATCAGGCTATTGAGAAATATATCTTACAGTATTTATGATCTTTTTGTAAATAAATGTATCCGACCCTCTCTCTGGCCATGTCTTAATACTAAAACAATGCATCCTTTCTTCCTCCCTTCCTTGAAGTATTTCCTGACCTTAGACAACGTGATGGGTGAAAAGAGGTTTCACAACATGGCTTTCACCAATCCAGTCACTATACAGACTGTTCATTATGTCAAGAAAGGGAGGCTGTGTATTTTCAAACAGCCCCTCTCCTGTGTTTGTCATGTTTTATTTTCTAGGTCAAAGAATGTCACAGTGACAACATCCTGCCACATCCTGTGCGTGATCGGGGACATCGGCGAGCATCTGAACGAAGACACCAAGAGCAGGATTGTCGGTGGGTGTCTAAGTTGCTTTGAATGGGATTACACAGGAGGAGCTGTCAAGATGGCTCCTTCCAGGACATAAAATGAACACCTGCCAAATGCGGCTAGATTTAGCTATTGGCGGGTGAGAATGTGTATTTCACCAGCCACATTGGCGGATGGTCAATTTGCAGGGCTCTACAGTGCGAGCATTACATTCGCGAATAAAAAATATTAAAAAGTAAAGTATGAGCACATGTGAGTTGCAGTTTTTCTGCCATTTTGTTTCATATCTGCTAATCGTACAAATAAATATGCATCCTATATCCTACCTCATGCAGCAATACTGCCTGGCAGAGGAGCTGTGCGTACTGAGTGAAGTGCTGATATATTTAGTTTTGGAGGTGCTGCGCACAAGCATAAAAGTTGGTCTAATTTACTCAAGTTTACAAATTGAGACTTTTTCCAAGTGTCTCTTGGCTATTTAAATTGTTTTGTTCACAAGCTCGGTTGTTTTTCAATGTTATTTTGAGTCTGCTGCTTCAGCTGATAGCGAAGAGACGCCCTAGTCAGATCTCAAATCTAACACATGACAACTGGAGTGGCCAAGTTACCATGGTAACATCCTGCCCTTAAAGGGGCAGCTGAATATTTTGTCTCATCTGATATTTTTGTTAAAAGACTCGGGTCACAAAAAAATAATATAAAATTGCATTATACCACATTAATTCTTACTAATACAATTCTTGTTTTAGAAACATTACAAAGTATGGTTGTCTGTTTTTTGATGTAATTATGTCAAAAATATTTTAGCTGGTAAAGAAATCTGAGTGGCTGGTGTCTGTGTGTGTATATATATATATATATATATATATATATATATATATATATATATATATATATATATATATATATACACACACACACACACACACACACAGTGGGGGAAAAAAGTATTTAGTCAGCCACCAATTGTGAAAGTTCTCCCACTTAAAAAGATGAGAGGCCTGTAATTTTCATCATAGGTACACGTCAACTATGACAGACAAATTGAGGGGGAAAAAATTCAGAAAATCACATTGTAGGATTTTTTATGATTTTATTTGCAAATTATGGTGGAAAATAAGTATTTGGTCACCTACAAACAAGGAAGATTTCTGGCTCTCACAGACCTGTAACTTCTTCTTTGAGGCTCCTCTGTCCTCCACTCGTTACCTGTATTAATGGCACCTGTTTGAACTTGTTATCAGTATAAAAGACACCTGTCCACAACCTCACAGTCACACTCCAAACTCCACTATGGCCAAGACCAAAGAGCTGTCAAAGGACACCAGAAACAAAATTGTAGACCTGCACCAAGCTGGGAAGACTGAATCTGCAATAGGTAAGCAGCTTGGTTTGAAGAAATCAACTGTGGGAGCAATTATTAGGAAATGGAAGACATACAAGACCACTGATAATCTCCCTCGATCTGGGGCTCCACGCAAGATCTCACCCGTGGGGTCAAAATGATGACAAGAACGGTGAGCAAAAATCCCAGAACCACACGGGGGGACCTAGTGAATGACCTGCAGAGAGCTGGGACCAAAGTAACAAAGCCTAACATCAGGAACACACTACGCCGCCAGGGACTCAAATCCTGCAGTGCCAGACGTGTCCCCCTGCTTAAGCCAGTACATGTCCAGGCCCGTCTGAAGTTTGCTAGAGTGCATTTGGATGATCCAGAAGAGGATTGGGAGAATGTCATATGGTCAGATGAAACCAAAATAGAACTTTTTGGTAAAAACTCAACTCGTCGTGTTTGGAGGACAAAGAATGCTGAGTTGCATCCAAAGAACACCATACCTACTGTGAAGCATGGGGGTGGAAACATCATGCTTTGGGGCTGTTTTTCTGCAAAGGGACCAGGACGACTGATCCGTGTAAAGGAAAGAATGAATGGGGCCATGTATCGTGAGATTTTGAGTGAAAACCTCCTTCCATCAGCAAGGGCATTGAAGATGAAACGTGGCTGGGTCTTTCAGCATGACAATGATCCCAAACACACCGCCCGGGCAACGAAGGAGTGGCTTCGTAAGAAGCATTTCAAGGTCCTGGAGTGGCCTAGCCAGTCTCCAGATCTCAACCCCATAGAAAATCTTTGGAGGGAGTTGAAAGTCTGTGTTGCCCAGCGACAGCCCCAAAACATCACTGCTCTAGAGGAGATCTGCATGGAGGAATGGGCCAAAATACCAGCAACAGTGTGTGAAAACCTTGTGAAGACTTACAGTAAACGTTTGACCTGTGTCATTGCCAACAAAGGGTATATAACAAAGTATTGAGAAACTTTTGTTATTGACCAAATACTTATTTTCCACCATAATTTGCAAATAAATTCATAAAAAATCCTACAATGTGATTTTCTGGATTTTTTTCTCTCCATTTTGTCTGTCATAGTTGACGTGTACCTATGATGAAAATTACAGGCCTCTCTCATCTTTTTAAGTGGGAGAACTTGCACAATTGGTGGCTGACTAAATACTTTTTTTCCCCACTGTATGTGTATATGTGTGTGTGTGTGTGTGTGTATATATACAGTTGAAGTCGGAAGTTTGCATACACTTAGGTTGGAGTCATTAAAACTAGTTTTTCAACGACTCCACTAATTTCTTGTTAACAAACTATCGTTTGGCAAGTCAGTTAGGACATCTACTGTGTGTATGACACAAGTCATTTTCCCAACAATTGTTTACAGACAGATTATTTCACTTATAATTCACTGTATCACAATTCCAGTGGGTCAGAAGTTTACATACACTAAGTTGACTGTGCCTTTAAACAGCTTGGAAAATTCCAGAAAATGATTTCATGGCTTTCGTAGCTTCGGATAGGCTAATTGACATCATTTGAGTCAATTGGAGGTGTGCCTGTTGATGTATTTCAAGGCCTACCTTCAAACTCCGTGCCTCTTGGCTTGACATCATGGGAAAAGCAAAATAAATCAGCCAAGACCTCAGAAATAGAATTGTAGACCTCCACAATTCTGGTTCATCCTTGGGATCAATTTCCAAACGCCTGAAGGTACCACGTTCATCTGTAAGTATAAACACCATGGGACCACGCAGCCGTTATACCGCTCAGGAAGGAGACGGGTTCTGTCTCCTAGAGATGAACGTACTTTGGTTCGAAAAGTGCAAATCAATCCCAGAACAACAGCAAAGGACCTTGTGAAGATGCTGGAGGAAACCAGTACAAAAGTATCTATATCCACAGTAAAACGAGTCCTATATCGACATAACCTGAAAGGCTGCTCAGCAAGGAAGAAGCCACTGCTCCAAAACCGCCATAAAAAAGCCAGACTACAGTTTGCAACTGCACATGGGGACAAAGATCGTACTTTTTGGAGAAATGTCCTCTGGTCTGATGAAACAAAATAGAACTGTTTGGCCATAATGACCATCGTTATGTTTGGAGGAAAAGGGGGGGGGGGCTTGCAAGCAGAAGAACACCATCCCAACTGTGAAGCACGGGGGTGGCAGCATCATGCTGTGGGGGTGCTTTGCTGCAGGGGGGACTGGTGCACTTCACAAAATAGATGGCATCATGTGGAAGGAAAATTATGTGGATATATTGAAGCAACATCTCAAGACATCAGTCAGGAATTTAAAGCTTGGTCGCAAATGGGTCTTCCAAATGGACAATGACCCCAAGCATACTTCCAAAGTTGTGGCAAAATGGCTTAAGGACAACAAAGTCAAGGTATTGGAGTGGCCATCACAAACCCCTGACCTCAATCCGATAGAATATTTGTGGGCAGAACTGAAAAAGTGTGTGCGAGCAAGGAGGCCTACAAACCTGACTCCGTTACACCAGCTCTGTCAGGAGGAATGGGCCAAAATTCATCAAACATTTGACCCAAGTTAAACAATTTAAAGGCAATGCTACCAAATACTAATTGAGTGTATGTAAACTTCTGACCCACTGGGAATGTGATGAAAGAAATAAAAGCTGAAATAAATCATTCTCTCTACAATTATTCTGACATTTCACATTCTTAAAATAAAGTGGTGATCCTAACTGACCTAAGACAAGGAATTTTTACTAGGATGAAATGTCATTAATTGTGAAAAACTGAGTTTAAATGTATTTGGCTAAGGTGTATGTAAACTTCCGACATAAACTGTATACAGTGCTGTGAAAAAGTATTTGCCCCCTTTCAAATTTTCTCTACTTTTGCATATTTGTGATACTGAATGTTATCAGATCTTCAACCAAAACCTAATATTAGATAAAAGGGAACATAAGTGAACAAATAACACAACAATTACATATGTATTTTATTTATTTCATAAAGTTATGCAACACCCAATTCCCCTGTGTGAAAAAGTAATTGCCCCCTTACACTCAATAACTGGTTGTGCCACCTTTAGCTACAATGACTCCAACCAAATGCTTCCTGTAGTTGTTGATCAGTCTCTCACGTCGCTGTGGAGGAATTTTGGCCCAGTCTTCCATGCAGAACTGCTTTAACTCAGTGACGTGTGGGTTTTCAAGCATGAACTGCTCGTTTCAAGTCCTGCCTCAACATCTCAATTGGGATTAGGTCTGGACTTTGACTAGGCCATTCCAAAACATCAAATTTGTTGCTTTTTAGCAATTTTCATGTAGACTTGATTTGTGTGTTTTGGATCATTGTCTTGCTGCATGACCCAGCTGCGCTTCAGCTTCAGCTCACAGACGGATGGTCTGACATTCTCCTGTAGAATTCTCTGATACAGAGCAAAATTCATGGTTCCTTCTATTAAGGCAAGTCGTCCAGGTCCTGAGGCAGCAAAGCATCCCCAAACCATCACACCACCACCACGCTTGACCTTTGGTATGATGTTCTTACTGTGGAATGCAGAGTTTGGTTTTCGCCAGACATTACTGGAACCATGTCGTCCAAAAAGTTATACTTTTGAATCATCTGTCCATAGAACGTTCTTCCAAGAGTCTTGATGATCATCCAGGTGCTTTTTGGCAAACTTGAGTCAACTTTTTGGATGAGATGGGTCCCATTTATGTCTGGCGAAAACCAAACTCTGCATTCCACAGTAAGAACATCATACGAAAGGTCAAGCATGGTGGTGTGATGGTTTGGGGATGCTTTGCTGCCTCAGGACCTGGACGACTTGCCTTAATAGAAGGAACCATGAATTTTGCTCTGTATCAGAGAATTCTACAGGAGAATGTCAGACCATCCGTCTGTGAGCTGAAACTGAAGCGCAGCTGGGTCATGCAGCAAGACAATGATCCAAAACACACAATCAAGTCTACATGAAAATTGCTAAAAAGCAACAAATTCGAGGTTTTGGCATGGCCTAGTCAACGTCCAGACCTAATCCCAATTGAGATGTTGTGGCAGGACTTGAAACAAGCAGTTCATGCTTGAAAACTCACACGTCACTGAGTTAAAGCAGTTCTGCATGGAAGAGTGGGCCAAAATTCCTCCACAGCGACGTGAGAGACTGATCAACAACTACAGGAAGCATTTGGTTGGAGTCATTGCAGCTAAAGGTGGCACAACCAGTTATTGAGTGTAAGGGGGCAATTACTTTTTCACACAGGGGAATTGGGTGTTGCATAACTTTATGAAATAAATCAAATAAATATGTAATTGTTGTTATTTGTTCACTTATGTTCCCTTTATCTAATATTAGGTTTTGGTTGAAGATCTGAACATTCAGTATCACAAATATGCAAAAGTAGAGAAAATTTGAAAGGGGGCAAATACTTTTTCACAGCACTGTGTGTATGTATGTATGTATATCTATCTATCTCGCTCTGGATAAGAGCGTCTTCTAAATGAGTTAAATGTATATGTGTATTTATAGATAGATATATGGATATGTGTATGTATGTGTATATATAGATAGATAGATAGATATAGATGTGTGTGTGTGTGTGTGTGTGTGTATGTATATTTGTGTGTGTGTATCTACCTCACGTGGTCTGGAAATAGCCCTGGCCCTGACCCTAGCTATCCTTAGTCTGTGGATCTAACTTATTTTATCTTTTGTAATGGCAGAGGACATTATTACCTGGCTGAAGAGCTTTGACATGCCTCTGGAGGTGATCAGCGCCAGTGTGGAGACTCTGTGTCGACTGGGCAAGGCGGAGGCAGTCAGTGACACACAGGTAGTTTTTGTGTGTGCGAGTCTGAGAAAATGTTGAGGCCTAGGCCCAGATATTTGAATAAATCCCAAGAACTCAATTCCAATATTTAATTTGGAGTGTATTAGCTAACCAGAAGTTGAATTATGCTTTGCAGACATTCCTTAACCAACACTGTGGAGAACTAGTCTCGGTCTGCGAGGCGTATCTTTCCGGCGTCATCCTGAATGAAAAAGGAGCACAGAACTTCAATGAGGATTTGGTGGTGAGAGGAATTAACGTCTAAACAGAATCACTCATTGACAGGTCCTTTGAATACTATTGCAAAGCAAATGTAAACCGGATCTTTTGCATATTAACTGGGCTTCATTGGGGTCATCTTGCCCATCTATCTACCAATTCAATTTTTTCCCCTGTCAGGTAAAGCACCTGTACACACTAGGCGTGGCGTCGCTGCATTGTCCCTCCAAAGTGGGCAAGCGCATCGTGCTCCTGGTCCAGTCTGTCCTCACCTCCAGCGTGGAACAACAGTCAGGTATTTGAATACATTATTCAGAGAATATTAGAATGTTACGGAGCCCTTAAGTGGCAGCAGGGGGGAAAACCTTGGTAAAATCATCTGTTGCACAGTATCTTTGGTCACATTGAATTTATCAGTCTTAAGCATTGTTCTTCTGGTCCATTCACAACTATGTCGAATGTTTCTTTCTACTGTACATGTTTTGTGTGCTTCGTGTTCTAACAGAGGGGTCAGAGGAGCTGGCCGGCTCCCAGCCTCTGTCTCAGTTTAAGGCCTCCTCCATGCCCAGCAGCGTCCGGGCTCATGCTGTCATCACTCTAGGTATGATCTCACCTCAGACCACCTCCCTGGAAATGAATGTATTTTTAGCTGAGACACTGTCCAGAAAAAAAACTTTGCCCCTACACCATTGTGTAATAGATATATGGTAGTAGAGTATGGGCCTGAGGGCACACACTGAATGTGTTGTAATGTTTTTAAAATTGTATAACTGCCTTAATTTAGCTGGACCCCAGGAAGAGTAACTGATGCCTTGGCAGCAACAAATGGGGATCCATAATAAATACAAATACCATAAGCACTCAGCTCCAAAAATAACTGGATAGCTAACTCTCCACCCCTCCCATCTCCCTCCAGGTAAGCTGTGCCTGCAGCACGAGGAGCTGACCCGCAAGTACCTGCCGGCGTTCGCCCGCGAACTGGAGCTGTGCAGCGAGCTGGCGGTGCGCAGTAACGTGGTGGTGGTCATGTGTGACCTGTGCGTGCGCTACACCAACATGGTGGACCGCTACGTTCCTAACGTGTCGGCCTGTCTCCGCGATAAGGAGCCGCTCATCCGCAAGCAGACCCTCACCATGCTCACTAACCTGCTGCAGGTAGGACTCAGATACGCTACAGACAGCGCCCTCTGCTGTACCGGTTGTGGCCGGAGGACAATAAACGGACTGAAAATGAAGTGCTACTATGGCTTGATTGTGATGATTTAAAATGTATCAATCTTCTTGAAAATGACTATTCCCTCCTAAATGTTGTTCTCAGTCGCTGTAACCCTGGAAATATATATACTTGGAATTCCTAAATTCAGGTTGCCAAAGCCACAATGTAAAAGTTTTTCCTCAATAAACCCGTCACTGTCAGGAAGCGGGTAAAGAATGATGAATAGTTTCTGTTGCTGTTTGTAGGAGGAGTTTGTCAAATGGAAGGGCTCGCTGTTCTTCCGTTTCATTGCAGTGCTGGTGGATTCTGATCCTACCATTGCTAGGTAAGTGGTGATCATTCATATGTATGCTGTCACCAGTTCCAATGCACTCATTACAAAAAGCAACAAATGAACATAAAGCTGAGGGAACTGGTAAATGAATCCCATCGCATATTTATTTCCATTCCAGTCTGTGTGAGTACTGCCTGGTTCACCTCTTGCTCAAGAAGAACCCAGTGATGTTCTCGCAGCACTTAATCGAGTGCATCTTCCACTTCAACTCCTATGAGAAACACAAGACCTACAACAAATTCCCTCAAACGGCCAGGTACAATTATGCTCCTATTTTGGGCTAAAAGTAGTTTTATATTGGCTACCAATTACTTTCTACGAGGAAGGTGATGAGGACTATTCTAAATCAGTGATTCTGAACTTGCACTTTTTGGGATATTGCTGATCAGCCCCTCAGATGGTAAGATGGTCACAACGAGACATTTGCACAGTAAAAATGCTTTATAATCAGTGTATGAGTAGTATTGGACTTGTTCTTTACTGTTGTAGTGTGATTGTGAACTAGCTAGACTATTGAACTGGCAATTCTATTCGAGCAATTGTGTGAAATGGAAATGTGTGCCATGTGTTACAATGGACTTACGGGTGTCATTTTCGATAGCAATTATGAAGTTTGCCAGTCCCTAGTCCATTACAGGTTGGGAAACACTAGTAAATGTCTGTTTGTTTCCTAGTGAGAAGGCTAAGTTCTCCTTGAAAGGAGCCCAGAACAAAGAGAGGAGGTTCAGGATCTATAGGTTCCTGCTGGAGCACTTCACAGACGCCCAGCGCTTTAACATCACCATCAAGATCAGCCAGAACATCCTTGGTAAGAGCTCCAAGAAAACTGTTCTACATTGAAATTACATTTACTCTTCAAATGTATGCACCTCTGTCTCTCTTGCTCATATGCTCTCTTTGCCTCTCCCTCTCTTTCGCTGTGTCTCTGCCTCCACCCATCCCCCTCAGCGTGCTTCGTGGATGGGGAGCTGCCTCTGGACGGTGACGGGGCGGCAGTGCTGGCTGAGACATTTGGGATCCTCAGCCTCAAGGAGATCAAGCTGTCAGCGCTGAGCGGGGCGGCGGGGGCTGGTGGCGACGAGCCGCAGGAGGACGAGCAGATGGCCATGGCGAAGGCCGTCATGCAGGTGGCCCAGAAGAAAGTGGTCTCACAGGTATGTTGAGCTTTGAATAATGGTATTAGTAAAAATAAATGATGAAAAGGGGGGCCGGGACTCATTGGATTTGGTTGCAATTGAAGCTTTGTTTAATTCTTTACTTTTACAAGCAACACATCTTAATAGGACACACAATGTTGTATTATAAAACAATTGTAGTAGTACTGATAATATTGATGATGTCACTATTTAGCAGTCATTTATATCCGAAGTGACTTGGAATAAACATGTATTTGTCCCACACTACTTAAACCTACAAATGTTGTGTTCCAAGCCACTAGAGGGTGCCAACGGCTAACGAACAAACCTCATCCATCCACCCACAGGTCCAGAAGAAAGTGTTCATCGAGAGCATGATTCCCATCATCATTAATCTGAAGAGCATGCTGGAACAGAAGCGCTCGCCAGTCCTGAAGGACCTCATGGGCTACCTCCAGGTAAGGCAGAGAGGGAAGACAGCCATCATCATGACATCACGTCCGGAGTTTCCCAGTCAAAACTGTTCGCTGCTCTGGCACCCCAATGGTGGAACAAGCTCCCTCACGACGCCAGGACAGCGGAGTCACTCACCACCTTCCGGAGACATTTGAAACCCCACCTCTTTAAGGAATACCTGGGATAGGATAAAGTAATCCTTCTACCCCCCCCCCCCCCCCCCAAAAAAAAATAATATAAATAAATAAATAAATACATTTTATTGTAAAGTGGTTAACCCACTGGCTATAGGGTGAATGCACCAATTTGTAAGTCGCTCTGGATAAGAGCGTCTGCTAAATGACTTAAATGTAAATGTAATTGTCAAGTATAATGTATGATAGCGCCCTTAGAAATTTAGAAATGTAAAATAAATTAAAACAACATAGACATTTTGAAAATATATTTAATAACTTAGGACTGAGCACAGTTTGCCATTCAAGATGTATCCCATAACAATGTTTGTAGCCACCAGGATAGTGAATACTGTGGAGGAGGGCTCTTCTGATTCCAACGCTACATTGGAGTCATTCAATGTCCCTTTTGATTAGCTGAGGTGATTTGGTCAAGTGTGAAACGCTCTTATCTAGAAACATTTGATATTTGATTGCGAAACAGTTTTGGTAACCTTGAACACTTAACTTAATATAATAATGATCCAAAAATAACTTTACAAATACTAAAGATACACTTACTGTTAGCTGTTTTACCACAGATTTCCAGTTTTTTTTGTCGAACACCACTTTGAGCCAACGTTTTTGTGTTCTCTCCGGAGTTTCCGTTAGCTCAGGAAGTGTCATAGTTCAGGTAAATGTGCAACTAGGGATGTTAACCGTTAAGCGGTAAGCTACTAAAAATACATTTGACTGGTCATACTTAAGTCTGTAGGTTAATTAGCATAATTTAGTGGAATTAAATTGGCACGTGTATTTTCTGTCCCGAGAGCAGCTCCTCAAAAAGCTGGTACTGGAGTGAAACATACTTTTATACGCACAGTCATTACGCAACAAATAACAATTCTAAATGCAATCACGTGTTAACTGTTTTGATGGCCACGATTTAAAGAGCTCCTTTTTTTTTCTCAATTTATAATTAAAGAGCGCCTCCCATTCGAGTGCGTAGGCTACAGTCAACGGTAGGCAGGCTATCAGCGCATCACCCACCACTTTGCAATGTGAGCTTGAGGCAGTATCATTGTTTGAAACCTGAACGTTTAACTTTACATCAAACAAGCAGTATTGGAAAAACATGCCCTAACACTATTGCCTCTGAATGCAACGCTTACCCCAAAAGTTTGCAGAAAACATTGAAAGGAGCTGACACAAAGGAGTCTGTGCCTGTGCTAGCAGTTAGCAAGCATGCACAAACATGTAAACACAGGCCACCAAGGAGAGTACCATCTGTAGCTCTTCAACTTCAGAGATGGACTCTGGTGCAGAACCTAACAATTTGCTCCCGCCTACCATAAAGCCAGTGGTGAAGCAGAGGCCGGTCAGAGGGCTGTTGTAAACTAGAGAAGACAGACATTGGTTTTCATATCAAGTTTATTTTGTTGTCCAGAAGCCAAAGGCACAATCCTAGTCATATTAGAAACTAATCCTAGTTGTTTCTAACAGAGATTTTCATCTCTGTCACATATGGAACCGCTCGCATTAAGTACGCTGTTTTGCATTTTTGCAAATGTTTTATTAGTTGCTTAATTACAGGAGTTGCGTGTTCAATAATAGCTTTTTGACTGTAAGACGATAGGCTTTCTATTGTTGCATCTTGATGAAAAATGTCCCATGCATGCATGCATAGTATTTTATGTTGGTCATGGCATTTTACTGTTTGGAACCAATTTTGTTGACCGGTTAATGAGGGTCTGTTAGTAGGCAGCCAAATTTACTAAAATGTGCATCTATGTGCAACACAAAACACCTTGTGGAAATCTGTGTTAAAGTGGCACACAGTAAGTGGATCTTCTGTATTTGTGAAATTATTTTGGGTTGATATGAAGTTTCGGAGGTTTCCAAAACCATATTGCACGGAATGATTATTAACGGTTAGACAGGGTGTCGGGACTATTGTTCACATTGGCTGCGCTGTAGTCAATGGTTCGAATGAATACCCAATGGCTGTATGACCCCTTGGGTTCTCAAGCTAGTCTTATCCTAGATCTGTTCTTAAGGGGATACAACACTTCTCCCTGCTGTCTAGCTGACCATGCAGGACTACCGCAGTGAGGTGAAGGAGTTCTTTGCGGCGGACGAGCAGCTTGCGGTAGAGCTGGAGTACAACCTGAAGATGTATGAGGAGAAGGAGAAGGAGCAGGAGATGAAGGCCCACTGTTCCCTGGGAGAGGATGCTGCCTCTGGGGGCACGCCGGTGAGCACTAGGCCTAGTAATGGAGGGAGGGCTTTGAAGATAGGAGTACTTTATTACAGCCCTTACTCTTTGCTGCTAACAGCCTGAATAGCAATCCATCAGGAGCCCTGCTGCTAATGAAGGCATCAAGGGACGATTCCTAACTTCCACTTAAGTCAAAATCTCACTTGCATTGATGTCAATAGGTGAAGATTCTATTTAAGTGGAAGTTAGGATTCTTTCCCAAGATGGCAGCAACAATAACTCATAAACATACATATTTTGGGTCAAATACGGAAGTATCTGTTCCTGTTATTACAAAATAATTTAGATGGATACTGTATCTGGCTGTAAAAAATAGAATATGTCTGACTCAATGTCAGTTGGCTACATATCCCATACATACTCTCATAATTGACTCCTCCACCATACCTCCCCCTCCCTGTCTCTCAGATCCTGGGCTCACCTGCCGCTGCCCACAGGTTCCTCCAGACGGGCTTTGCCACGCCCCAGCCCGTCGTCCCCAGCCACCGAGTCCTGCTCACCCCAAGACTTGCCCAGTCAGACAGGTACAGCTCCTAGCTGCATACATGCACAATGCTTTCATACCTATCTACCAGGGTTTCTGTTATGAAAATTTGGCTCATGACAAGATTTGTATTTATCGGACATATGAGATATGTACCTGTCATCCATATGTATTAGGGCGTCCACCCACGCAGCCAGCACCATCAATAAACAAGGGATATTGGCCATATTTACATGAGCCACATTTACGTGTCCTTAAAAATGGCCTATGACAAATACACACTATTCCTTGTGTTTCGATGTGTCGCATATGCAAAACTTTATAGCCTATTGTTTTATTGGTTTTTACTTTCCTAAAACAGTAATTGTCCACATCACAGTTCAGCTGTCTGAGATTTGAGCACTAAATGCATCAGGGCATTGCATGCATAGGTTTAGGTGTCCACTGTATATTATTACAAAAATAAATTTAAAGGAAGAGAAGCTTAGGCCTAGCCCCAGAGAGGGACAGATGGAGATTTGCCGGCGGCTTGCTACAACACCGACATGCATATATCTATACAGATATAGGTGTACAGAAGGAAGCTAATTCGTGAATTTATCTGAATATTTGTTTTAAAGATAAGCATTATGTTAGATTATAAGAGTGACACTGGTAGTCCTTAAACATTCTTCCTCACCTCAAGTTCAACTGGTGGAGTCCGTTGGAGCGCTGGTGTGCACTGCCTTCATATCATAGGCCTGCAGTATAATAGGCCACTCCAAACCTTCACAAAAGTTTCTAAACTTTATTAGGGTAATATCAAAAGTATCTCAAGCCGGGCCGGTCCTTGCCGTTCTGCCACCATAGGCAAAACACAAAAATGCTGCCCCCGCAAAACTAGATTAGTCCCAGTAAGCAAAATGACATTGAAAAGATGTCTAAAATGTATTTTCCAGATGTTGAAATCAGGTTCATTTTTGGTTCTGAATGAAAGTTGAAAATAAGTAATTTATAGACGTCTATGTTTGGGCCAAATCAAAGCTGGTCCAAACTGGACCAAATCTGAACCAAACAGAGACGTCTATGATTGGTTCAGATTTGGTCCGGACCGGACCAAAAACCAATGTCCATGGATGTGGAAATCAAGGCCGGTCCGGAACTGCACCATAAAAAGACGTCCAGTCGGCGTCGGTCCGTGCTCACTGGTGTAGCCTACAGTGTTGTCTGGAATTGCATTTTTCTACCGTTTGGAAAACACCAAAAAAACGATGTCCGGACAGAACCAAAAAAATACGTCCAAAAAAGTCTGCTTGTGCTTACTGGGGTATAGCCTACCATGTCCGCCTGCAATGGAATTTTATGAATGCTCATCCATGTGCTAGGCCCACCATTTGTAAAACAGGCCATTGCGTTGGCTTTATTTGTCCTGATTCCTGTGACTAATCAATTTGGCTATTTATGGTTTGAATATAAGCTACCCAACTTTATCAGGAGTTAAGCCAGACAAAATTGATTCACTGTTTACGTAAAAATATTAAGTGGATAAGGAATAACAGTACTTTACCACATTGTCCTAGACACTTGTGCAGGCTCTAGGCCTAATGTGAGCTTCAAGAGTTATATTGTTCCATGCAAAAACCTACACTATTTTTCTTTAAAATAATGCAGATGTTACAATGTTGTTATAACCATGTGAAATGAAACACAATGGGAAGTATAAATTGTGACCGTTGCTTTATTCCTGGGGGAAAAAAAGAATCGGATAAAAATCAAGAACAGACACCTTAACTAAAGTTGGCCGTGTGCAGTAGATCACCTACTGGGTGTCAACAAACAATGGCGATTCAACATGTAGAATCGTCTGGAAATGAAAATGACGGCCAATGTTCTGTGGTCAGAGGCAATAGCACAATCGCCTGCTGCTTTTTACTGTTCAACAGCACGGTCTGTTTTGTCCTTTCTTTGTTGTTTATTCTGGTCTCTAGGGTGTTCATTTCTGTTTAAGGTTTATTGGAGCTCTCGTAATGAACTGCTTTCCTTCTTGCTTACACACTGGGCACATTGGCCTGACATGTTGGAATTGTTGTTTGAGCTTCACCACCTCTTCCCCCTCAAGAACATCTGGACATCCACAATGGACACACACATCTGGGAATGACACTGTGATTGCTGAGTAATACTGCGTCTCCACTTGCATTCCACAGGTTAGCCCCTTGAAAGCAACTACCTGCTCATGATATGGATTGTCTTCTTGGAAAAGCTCTGAACCACATGCAAAAGTGTTCTCATCCCGAATGCATTGGACTGCTTTCTGTTCTTTAGACAGCTTGCTTTTGGCATACAAGCACCTTGGTTTCTCACATTCAACACAGTTGATTGTCGCTCTCACCTTTGCACTGACCATGTCAGCACTCCTCTTTACATTTTCTATATTTGGTGTCAGAGAAGGCCTATCCTTGTCAGTGGTGTCCAAGCTGTACAGATCATCAAATTTCTGGTACTCACGTCTGTCTGCTGTCAATGTTGCGATCAGGCACAAACCTTCATTTCTTAAATTGTTCTTCTGGCTAGCGTGGAGGACCCAGCATGGATCTTCTCCCTTGCATTTCTTATTATTATTATTCTTATTCTTCTTATTATTATTCTTAATACACAAATTAACATTAATGAACATTATTCACATATGATGTATAATATAAGGCAATATTCTATCATATTCAAAAATTATTGGGGAAAAAAGTAATGCAGGAATGTATTCAGTTCATTCATCTACTTAATGGTATAGCTTAACAAGGCTTTAACAAATTAAGACCATACAAATATAAAGGCCTATCATAGACTACCCTTTCTAGGAGAAATATGCTATTGTTAATGAAGGGCAATCCTTCGAATTAGGTCAAATGAATGTAACACTGGAAAAAGTGCAATCCAATCTCGTAATTTAATGTGATTTATAGGGTAATAGAGTAGACTATAAAAAAATATATCTACATCTAATTCAAGAATAACTGACAATAAATAATTGTAATAAAATTCAAAAGATCTGAGCGTGTGATCTGACGCTGTTTGGTCTCTTGCACATCAACTTGGGAAAGCCTCAAGGAAGAGCGGACAGTGCATTATAAACAAAGTGCTGCATTTATTGCCCAAAAAAATAACATCTGATTTGTTTATTTTTTGGGGAAAAGTAATGCAGGGCTTCCGTTAAACAGTAATTCATCTTTGTCCGGCCTTATCGTGAGCCTATTTGCAATGTGTTTACACAGCGGGAAATGCAGAAGTATTCTCTTTTTCGCAATGATCAGCTTGTCAAAAATGAATGGATACAAACTTGAAGCCACTGGTCAACCCTCCCCTAACCCGGACAACGCTGGGCCAATTGTGCGCCACCATATGGGACTCCCGGTCATGGCCGGTTGTGACAGCCTGGAATCGAACCCCAGGCTGTAGTGACGCCACAACACTGCGATGCAGTTCCTTAGACCGCTGCACCACTCGGGAGGCCGTTAGATATTTTATTTTAACGGAACGTTGGAGTGCTTCAGAGATGCATCTCTCCAACAGCACCCTGGAGAGGCGCACTGGGAATGGACAAGCAAAATATTTTGCGCCTTTGACAAAGTGGCACTGCTTATCAAAGGGCGGCATCAGCGCTCACCTAAAAAGCTCATATGCCAATTGTCATTGTTTTTGGGCAGAATTATGTGAGGTTGTATGTGTTGTTGGTGTGTCTTGGCAAGTTTAGCTCAGAAAATGCCGCCCTCGTCAATCTGCCGCCATAGGCGGACGCCTAATCCTGCCTAATGAGCGTGCCGGCCGTCAAGTCCTTCTTTATAGGGGAAATACAAGCAGGATATTATATTGCGGCAGTTGGAACTTAAAATGGCTCAACAATATGAAACAAAACACTTGTGAAATGGTTTAAACCTTCACAAAAGTTTTAAATAGGCTATATTGCAGCAATTACCAGGAAGTGCCTAACGTTACCGTACCCAACAAATGACAACAATAGGCTGATGATATTTCATAAATAGGCCTACAATAATGATATACTACAATAATTATAAAACAAATGATTATAAATACAAAAAAAGTATCTACCTGAATAGTGAGTTGCACAGTAGCCTGCCTTTGGCCACACCAATGTTCTTCTCATCTTTGTCCACTACAATATTAAAGTGCCATATGGAGGACATCCCCCTTGTAGGCTTTTTACTATAGGCATATTCCAGGGTTTCCATTAGGAAAATGTGGCGCCGGACATTTTGACCAACATTTTAAATTACCGGACATTTGATAAATGTACCTGATCCATATGCATTGGGTGCGTAACCTGATTAGGGTGTCTACACACGGTGCGCAGAATGACCGAGATCACATTTAGAATATGGTAATTCATATTACCAGAACATGCAAGTTGAGGATGCAACGATGTGCAGTCCTTACCGAATTCTGATGTACGCTTTGAACATGTTATTGAATGGAATTTAATGGAATTTATTTAGGTAAACAGACATGTACAACAAAATGTACAATGTGGACCCAGAGGATATCACTTGAAAGTATTCATTAAAACGTTTGTTTCCAAAGTGGTCCTCGGTGGTAAAAACAATAACACATATAATGATTAAAAGGCAAGACAAAATTACAAACAACCATAAATACATATATTTAAATTGCACTTTTCCCTAACCTTAAAAATCATCCATATTAATTTCACATTATAAAATCTATTCATTGCACAGCATACCTAACATTCAAATAAATACACCTGACCAGCAGTAGGGGGCACAAGGGGCAGTGGAGTGGTTTCTCTTACTTAGACAAACTGAAAAACCTTTGCCTGCTTTTTAAAGCTATTTCTACTTTTTCTTTGCTTGATCTCCAAGGGGAGGCTTGGAGAGACTCTTGTCTAGACAAATGCCTGTATAGAAAAACGTGCTCCTCGCAATACTGTTTACTCTTGGGATTTTACAAGACATAACACTAGCTCTGGTATTGGAACATTTTAGTCATTTAGCAGACGCTCTTATCCAGAGCGACTAACAGTTAGTGAGTGCATTCATTATTTTTTATATATATTTTTTTCATACTGTCCCCCCGTGGGAATCGAACCCACAACCCTGGCGTTGCAAACGCCATGCTCTACCAACTGAGCTACATCCCTGCCGGCCATTCCCTCCCCTGCCCTGGACGACGCTGGGCCAATTGTGCGCCGTCGCAGGGATGTAGATCAGTTGGTAGAGCATGGCGTTTGCAACGCCAGGGTTGTGGGTTCGATTCCCACGGGGGTATGAAAAAAATAAATGTAAGTCACTCTGGATAAGAGCGTCTGCTAAATGACGTAAATGTAAATGTAATAACATTATTTTGCATGACCTGCATTCTCTTTTTCAATTTTTTTGATAGCCCACTACACCAAGCAGAGCAGGCATAATCAAAATGACACTGAATCAAGGTTGAGACAAGCAGTTTCTTAACTTTGATGTTAAAATATCTAGTGTTACGATATAACAATTTCAATTTGTTTGCCATTTTAGAAATAATTTTCAAAGCATTCAGGTCTCCAGAAAGGGATTGATCTAGGGACACACCAATATTTACATTTTAGTCATTTAGCAGACGCTCTTATCCAGAGCGACATACAGTTAGTGTGTGCATACATTTTCATACTTACACTTGTTTTAGATTCAATCTCCTTGCCTGCACAGTTAACCTTTATCTTGTCAGCCCTAAGCAATCTATGTTTTGTTCCAAACAAAATCGATTCAGTTTTTCCCAAATGTAGCGACAATTTGTTGTCAGTCAACCAATGTCCAACAAAATGCAATTCCTTACTCAGGGTCTCCTCTATGTAAACTGTATCCTTCCCTGATACCAGTATGGCTGAGTCATCAGCATAAAGCAGGAGTTTGCACTTTACTGTATCTGGCATATCATTTAACGTATATAAGAAATAAGAGGCCCTAAAATTGATCCCTGCGGTACTCCACAGGATATTTCTTTGGCCTCTGACAGAACATCACCAACGTTACATACTTGTGTTCTGTTGGTCAGATAAGACCTAAACCAATTCTGTGTTGCATCATTTAGACCCATGCATTTCAGTTTCATCAGGAGAATATCATGGTCCACAGTGTCAAACTTTCTGCAAGTCTAACATGACCATACCTGTATTGTTCCTCTTCTCACTTTCCCGCTTGATATGCTCAAAAAGGTGGATAAGGCAAGTATCAGTGGAATGAGCTGTTTGTGCTCGAAGGTATCCCTCAAGTTGATTAAAAACTAATCTCTCAACAACTTTGGATAAGGTGCTGAGGATCAACACAGGCCTGTAGTTTCCTACATTTTTTTTTTTTTACTACTCTTCTTGTGGAGCGGAACCACCTGGGCTGTTTTGAAATCATTTGGAAATGTACCACTACTAATAGAAAGGTTTACAATATGCGTTATCATTTTAGCAGTGACACAAGCACTATCCTTTATGAATTTTGCAGGAAGGTTATCCAGCCCAGTTGCTTTGTTTGTGCTCATTAAGCACAGTACAGTCGTGGTCAAAAGTTTTGAGAATGACACAAGTGTTGGTCTTCACAAAGTTTGCTGCTTCAGTGTTTTTAGATATTTTTGTCAGATGTTACTATGGTATAATTACAAGCATTCCATAAGTGTCAAAGGCTTTTATTGACAATTACATTAAGTTTATGCAAAGATTCAATATTTGCAGTGTTGACCCTTCTTTTTCAAGACCTCTGCAATCCGCCCTGGCATGCTGTCAATTAACTTCTGGGCCACATCCTGACTGATGGCAGCCCATTCTTGCATAATCAATGCTTGGAGTTTGTCAGAATTTGTGGGGTTTTGTTTGTCCACCCGCCTCTTGAGGATTGACCACAAGTTCTCAATGGGATTAAGGTCTGGGGAGTTTCCTGGCCATGTTCCCCGAGCCACTTAGTTATCACTTTTGCCTTATGGAAAGGTGCTCCATCATGCTGGAAAAGGCATTGTTCGTCCCCAAACTGTTATTGGATGGTTGGGAGAAGTTGCTCTCGGAGGATGTGTTGGTACCATTCTTTATTCATTGCTGTGTTCTTAGGCAAAATTGTGAGTGAGCCCACTCCCTTGGCTGAGAAGCAACCCCACATATGAATAGTCTCAGGATGCTTTACTGTTGACATGACACAGGACTGATGGTAGCGCTCACCTTGTCTTCTCCGGACAAGCCTTTTTCCGGATGCCCCAAACAATCAGAAAGGGGATTCATCAGAGAAAAGGACTTTACCCCAGTCCTCAGCAGTCCAATCCCTGTACCTTTTGCAGAATATCAGTCTGTCCCTGATGTTTTTCCTGGAGAGAAGTGGCTTCCTCGCTGCCCTTCTTGACACCAGGCCATCCTCCAAAAGTCTTCGCCTCACTGTGCGTGCAGATGCACTCACACCTGCCTGCTGCCATTCCTGAGCAAGCTCTGCACTGGTGGTGCCCCGATCCCGCAGCTGAATCAACCTTAGGAGACGGTCCTGGCGCTTGCTGGACTTTCTTGGGCACCCTGATGCCTTCTTCACAACAATTGAACCTCTCTCCTTGAAGTTCTTGATGATCCGATAAATGGTTGATTTAGGTGCAATCTTACTAGCAGCAATATCCTTGTCTGTGAAGCCCTTTTTGTGCAAAGCAATGATGACGGCATGTGTTTCCTTGCAGGTAACCATGGTTAACAGAGGAAGAACAATGATATCAAGCACCACCCTCCATTTAAAGCTTCCAGTCTGAGTAAGAATAACAATCAGCATGACAGAGTGATCTCCAGCCTTGTCCTCATCAACACTCTCACCTGTGTTAACGAGAGAATCACTGACATAATGTCAGCTGGTCCTTTTGTGGCAGGGCTGAAATGCAGTGGAAATGTTTTGGGGGGGATTACGTTCATTTTCATGGCAAAGAGGGGCTTTGCAATTAATTGCAATTCATCTGATCATGCTTCATAACATTCTGGAGTATATGCAAATTGCCATCATAAAAACTGAGGCAGCAGACTTTGTGAAAATTAATATTTGTGTCATTCTCAAAACTTTTGACCACGACTGTAGATTGGAAACGTTGTCCTCCGTTACCATGCACAGCTCAAACAAATTATTTGTGATACCTTTGCTATGGTAAAAGTTCTTAATGAAAGACAGGCCATAGTGTCCAGAGCAGGTCGGTAACTTCTAAACCAGAGATGAGGCTATAGTGGTAAAAAATTTGTTAAAGTAATTTGCAACCTTTGCCTGGTCATAGCATAAAACATCATCAATATCCAGGCCAATACTACAGGATTTTACTTTATGGGGAGTTTTTGAGCCAATGTCCTTTAGAAATGTCTACAGTTTACGAGGCTGATGTAAGTTGTCATTAACAGCATCTATGTAATGTTGGGATTTGGCCTTATCCATTTTGTATCTTGCCTGGTTTCTACAGTTAATATAACCATCATAATCTTGTTGTAGATTTGTCCTTCTGAATTTGTCCAGGTAGCGATCCCTTTTCCTTATGAGGTCTAAGATCTCGGAAGTGATCCATTTCCCTGACCGCTGTTTGATTCAAATTTGTTTAATTGGAGCCAGAGAGTCGAGTGCAGACAAACAGATCTTTAAAAAGATACCAAGCTTGATCAAGATCATCACAGTTTAGTACATGAGACCAATCCAAAGTTCCAAGTTCTTCTAAAAAAAAAACGTTCCTTTGAGTATTGTTTCATAGACCGTACCTTCTTGTAGTTATTACCTGGCTCAAGTGGCATTTTGGATTTCTTACGGGTACAGTAGGTTACCATATGATCACTAAACCCAATATTTAAGACTCCTGACTGACCAGACGTTTTCTTGGTCTGATACAATAATAAAATCCAAAGTTGATTTACTGTCAATACACACCCGGGTTGGCTCAACAATCAGTTGTTTTAGTCCAAATAACGGATTAAAGTTATACAGGGCATTTACTAATGTACTTTTCTTGGGTGATAACTGCACATTTGTATTAAAATCGCCAAGCAGAATACATTGTAACTGTCCACATTTACTTACCTCAGCCAACAAGACGAGTAACGAACAGCAAAATCACTAGCCTGGCAGTCTACTATAGTAAAAAAGTTTAGGCTACCTATTCTATTGGTCAGCTTGTCGATAAAGAAATAGCCTATTCCAAACACTCTGGGACAGTTGTGGGACGATGGATCCCAAATTCATACAACCAGTAGGCCTAGGCTACATGAGTCTGATGCAACAGTTCAAAATGTTTAGTTGATAAACTATTATTTATTCACATTATAAGCGCAGCAATGCGCACAACACAGTAGGCTACACATGAATGTTCCATAATGCTAAAGGCCACTGCACATGTTAGTGGTTTCATGTGACAGATGAAATTATCTGTTAGAAATGTAGAAAGGGAGGAGATCTAATAGGCTACTTTGAAGCAAGGTAAGACATGCGTCATATGTACTAAAGCGTTCAGGTTTCAAACAAGTATACTGTATGTTTTCAAAATGCATACTGCCTTCGGCTCATTGCAAAATGGTGTGTGACGCACTGATAAAGCCTGCCTTCCGTTGCCTTTTGATGCCGCGTTCAAAACAACTGGGGACTCGGAAATCTCTGACTTCCAACTTCAGTGCGTTCGAGGCAACTGGGGGGAAAAAACAAGCTCCGACTAGGAACTTGGGCCTCTTTCAAGAGCTCTGACTTTCCGACCTGAAGATCACTGAAGTCATGATTTGACCTCGTATTTTCCAGAGTTCACATTTGTCTTGAAAGCACCACAAGATGCTGCTGCTGCAGCAGCAGCTCTTGTGCTGTCAGACAGATTTTCCACTCAAAGGCTCTGTATCTGTATAAATTATGCTAATTAACCTATAGACCGATAAGCATGACCAGTCAAATGTATTTACATCAACTGGTATTTCCATCAATTTAATAAGTATTATTTCGCAATGGGATTTTTTTCTTCTTCTCCCGGCCAATGTCCGGTGCCAATTTTATTTATAACTTTTCTATTTTCTTTATTGGACAAAAGACTGCTATTACCGCCTAACGGAAACCCTGGCATACTCTAACTTTCATTTTACTTCAATGAAAAAGGCCTCCATCTTTGCAATCAACAGTAGCCCAAGGCTCCTCTCTCGCGCTCTCTCTCTCTGCTCAGCAGTAGGGGCAGGCACGTAAGGCAGCACGCAACAATGCATTATTTATTTTATTGGCCAAAAGCCGGCAATTACCGGCTAATGGAAACCCTGCTACCTACCTACTGTACATACAGTGCATTCGGAAAGTGTTAAGACCTTGACTTTTTCCACATTTTGTAAAGTTTCCCTTATTAAAAAATGTATTACATAATTTTTTTCCCTCAATCTATACACAATACCCCATAATGACGTTGATATTTCTACAACTTCATTGGAATCCACTTGTGGTATATTCAATTGATTTGGACAAGTTTCTCTGGTCTGACAATTTCATCCATGTTAGAACAAGGCTGTAACGTAACAAAATGTGGAAAAAGTCAAGGGGTCTGAATACTTTCCGAATGCACTGTACCTCCCTACCTACCGCCTTAAGGCTACTTATACTTGCTGTGAAAATCTTAGACCCATTTTACATCACATTGAATCCTCTGTAGTCTGTACTGCAAGGTGGGGTGAAGATGTCTAGACACATTCCAGTCCCAGATTGAGCAATTTCAAATGGAGCTATTAAATGCGTAATAATCGATTAGGTCCAATGCAGCCATTTATTTTATATCAATATCAAATCATATCTGGGTAACAATTAAGTACATTACTGTGATTGTTTTCAATTAAAATGGTCGAAAAGAAACACTGCTTTTTAGCAAAGAGCAATTTCTCAATCAAGAATACTGCTAAGAATGTCTGGGAGGGGGGATCTAAGTGGGGAGGTGAAAACGGAACTAGCTGTTATTGGCAGAGGTTTGGAACTCTTTCTTATTGGTTTATTAATTAATTTACCGCCTGGTGATGTCGCTAGGCAGGCCAAAACTCCATCCCACCAAAACGGGCAGAAATTTCAGGCGGCATTATAATTTTCACAGTATTATTCCAACCTCAGTGTGGAAATGTATATAAAACACAGGAAAATCACGTTTTTGACTGCACTGGGCCTTTTGATCTGGCACTAGAGGCATTACTCCCATCATTATTTTATTTTTTTAGTCATTTAGCAGACGCTCTTATCCAGAGCGACTTACAGGAGCAGTTAGGGTTAAGTGCCTTCCTTGCTCAAGGGCACATCGACAGATTTTTACTTCAGCTACACCTATAACCACATTCTACTATTACCACCACCACTATGGGCACATCTTGCTGCGATGTGGAATGGGAGAGCGTAAATAAGCCTTGTGTCTCTGACTGGGTGTTGTGCTTGAACCCCAGGCGTCAGCCACCGCAGCAGAGGAGCGGGCCACACAGGAGCTGGGTCAAGGCGACCAGCGACAGAAACGTCACACCCCTGGATGGATCAGGTACAGCCGCCTTTCATGACCGTACCGCTGACGAGACGGATTTAGATGGAGCTAGCCAACTCAGACAGACTTGGTGAGATGTGATTCCATTTTTGACAGATTTATTTTTCTTGTGTTCCACTATTACAGTGAAGCTGAAAGGAGGTGTCTGCGATCGAGCTATAAGCACCCCGCAGGGTAAGTTGGACAAAACCGGATCTGAATCCCCCCCCCTCTCCTTCAGGAGTTAGACCCCCTTCCGCATGCCAAGAGCTTAGGGTGTGTGCATGTCCCAAGAGCAGGTAACATTGCATGAGGAGTATCATGTGGAACTGAATGGATCACACTGCTCTACACATTCAATCTCTATATGCATTGATCATGCAGTGGTTACTGTCCGTTGTGCCCAATAACGCTGATGCTGCTAGAGTTCCCTCATTGGAGAGCTTTGGACATGGGGTCTTGGAGAGCTTTGGACATGGGGTCTTGGAGAGCTTTGGACATGGGGTCTTGGAGAGCTTTGGACATGGGGTCTTGGAGAGCTTTGGACATGGGGTCTTGGAGAGCTTTGGACATGGGGTCTTGGAGAGCTTTGGACATGGGGTCTTGGGGAAGGAGCCTTCTGAATATCACAATGGGGGGTGTTTTTTCCAGGTACTGTCAACAATTTACTGACTCAGTGAAAGCTCCTTCATGTAGAGCAAAAAGAGCTGCCGTTGAGCAACAAGTCGATGCCTGGCAGCCCCATGATAAATCCCACCAAACACGTTGTCCAGAGGTGGTCATTTCCCAGTCAATGAAGTCCTCAATTGGCACTAACTGGCCAAGCTGCAAAGTCTGACATTCTACCATGTTTTTAAAACTAACCCTAATCATAAATGGCAACTACACCACTTTTCAACCTAATTTTCATTATCTCCAACTAAATACCAGTGTCAACATATATAAAAACAGCGCATTTCTAAGTTTTGTTGATATTATTTTGACATAAAGTTCTGCCCAATGACATCAAAAGTTAAAACATTTTAAAATGTGATTTTTCAAACACTATGAGATTCGCAGTGATGTGGGGAGAAATAAAATACCCTCCTTTGGGCTAGAAACCTGTTGCAGGTTTTGAAAATATTTTTTAAAACTTTTAATCCTACCGTGTGTCACGGGATAATTTTCTTAGGACCGTAGCTTTTTTTTTTTTTACCACAGATCATTGAAACATACTAAACACAAAAGTATGTGGACACCTGCTTGTCGAATATCCCATTCCAAAATCATGGTTATTAATATGTAGTTGGTACCCCTTTGCTGCTATAACAGCTTCCAGTCTTCTGGGAAGGCTTTCCACTAGATGTTGGAACATTGCTGCGAGGACTTGCTTCCATTCAGCCACAAGAGCATTGGTTAGGTCAGGCACTGATGTTGGGCAATTAGGCCTGGCTCGCAGTCGGCGTTCCAATTCATCAAGTTGTTCGATGGGGTTGAGGTCAGGGCTCTGTGCTGGCCAGTCAAGTTCTTCCACACCGATCTCGACAAACCATTTCTGTATGGACCTCGCTTTGTGCATGGGGGCATTGTTATGCTAAAACAGTAAAGGGCCTTTCCGTAAACTGTTGCCTCAAAGTTGGAAGCACAGAATCGTCTAGAATGTCATTGTATGTTGTAGCGTAAAGATTTCCCTTCACTGGAACTAAGGGGCCTAGCCCGAACCATGAAAAACAGCCCCAGACCATTATTCCTCCTCCACAAAATGTTACTGTTGGCATTCTCCCGACATCCGCCAAACCCAGATTTGTCCGTCGGACTGTCAGATGGTGAAGCGTGTTTCATCACTCCAGAGAATAAGTTTCCACAGTCCAATGGCGGCAAGCTTTACATCACTCCAGCCGACGCTTGGCATTGCGCATGGTGGTCTTAGGCTTGTGTGCGGCTCCTCGGCCATAGAAACCCATTTCATGAAGCTCCTGACGAACAGGTCTTGTGCTGAAGTTGCTTCCAGAGGCAGTTTGGAACTCAGTAGTGAATGTTGCAACCGAGGACAGACAATTTTTACACACTACGTGCTTCAGCACTCGGCGGTCCCGTTCTGTGAGCTTGTGTGGCCTACCACTCCACAGCTGAGCCATTGTTGCTCCTAGACGTTTCCACTTCACAATAACAGCACTACAGTTGACCGGGGCAGCTCCAGCAGGGCAGAAATATGACGAACTGACTTTTTGGAAAGGTGGCATCCTATGATGTTGTCATGTTGAAAGTCACTGAGCTCTTCAGTAAGGCCATTCTACTGCCAATGTTTGTCTATGGAGATTGTGTGGCTGTGTGTTCGATTTTACACACCTGTCAGCAACGGGTGTGGCTGAAATAGCCGAATCTACTAATTTGAAGGGGTGTCCACATACTTTTGTATATGTAGTGAATGTAGACACTGGTTTGGTGCTGGAGATGAGGTTGAAAAGTGGCGGAATTGCCCTTTAACCAAACTACTAACCTTATGCTTAACGTCTAATTTTGCAACATAATATCCCTATTACATGTTACTCAGGTAACATAAATGAAGTTACATTCGGGGAAGGAGTCAGCGCCATCTTCAGTGACCGGAGAACAGGTATGCAACATTTTGACCGATGCCATTTGATCACAAGCGGACACTGTGATAATGTGTTTGGTCTGACTTTTTAGTTTTTTTCTTCATAGGTTCAACGACTGGAGCAGAAGGACGTGTCCTTCAATTGATGTCACCTGATCAGCAGTAAGTACCTTTTTTTTAAAAATCAAAGTCAGCATTAAACCATATAACGGTCAGAATGTTTCATCTAATTAATTTCTTGTGTTTTCAGAACTCCAGTGCCAAGACAATGGAACGTGCAGTCCCCACTCAATCAAAAAAGAACGAGACAAATCCAGCAGTAGCTGTTTCTTTTTCATGTTCTCTTCTGTCCATACTGAACACACTTGATGTCCTATCTAAAATCATATGGATATTTTCTTTATTTTTGTAAATGAAAATCCAGCACGCATGTCAGAATATTATAAGTGAGTTTTATTAATCATAAACATCCGGTTCAAGAATTCTCAGAGGATTTGTACCAGGCCCGAGATGGGCGTTACATTAGTTTGGTTCAGAAAAATCATGTTCTCAATCAAATAAACATGTGAACACTTGAAACGCTTGAACCTTTACATGATTTCAACGCCAACCTCAAGCATTGGAGAAATTAGATGCAAATTAATCAACCTTGGATTGGAGGAAAAGCGTGATTGGCAGTCAGTATTTGGCTTAGCTAGCCCCAACCACAGAACATGTATTGGAATCTCTTTGACTGTGTATTTAAAACTACATATTGCAGGTTTTGAAGAGGGTGATTTAATAAAATATCTTATTTTCGATGCCTTGGAAGTTGCAGGTGTTTTCTGGCCTTTATGGTAAATGTAGGCCTCAGGTAGGCAACATGCTTGAGTGTTTCTCCATCTATTTAATCTGTTAACAAACGTGTATTCTTTCTTCTGTTTGTGTACTAGTACTATGTGTCTTTACTCTTTACCAAAAAGAATTCCCACTATTTAGGCACTAATTCATAACAAATCTCTATTTCTACTCCAATGGAAAAAAGTGTAATCCTTCAAAACAATGCTAAAAGAAAATAATCTATTTACAAAACAAAGCAGATATGGAAAAATTATTTGGGTGGGAAAATGTTCCATTATTCTTGTCTTAAGAATAGGTGGCAATGTCATCATTCCTCTCAAACGCCGTTTGTAGAGTATTAAAAATGCAATTCAGGTTTTTGTGCATTTTGCAGGATTGAGATTGAGAACAATCCCTTTAAAATAAAATGTAAAAATGTGTTAGATGGCATGAAGCTGATCTACTTTTGTAATGTCAGAAGGCACTTAAGAGGAATGATCTTTATCAATGTACAAATGAAAACCTTCAGTACCTGTTTTGTAAAAAAAACTATTTGTATCTGCATTAATTGGTTTCTACTAGCTACAGGCAATTACTGTAACGTTTTGTAACTCTTGGAAATAAATTGATTTGGGAAAACTTCAAATACCATGTCTAAGTCGTTTACTAGAATTTGAAATTCTGTAGGTTTTTTGCCTGGGGTACAGAAGATGGAACAATGATAAACTTCCTATGTGCAAACATTAGGCAGATCGTCTCTACCATGACCATGTATTTTTGAAACCATGGAAAGAGTTTCATATTGCCTCCGAGGGGGGGGGGGGGGGGGGGGGGGGGGGGGACGACGACACACACCAACAGTTATTTATATACAATTGTTAGCCAACATAAACCCTACCCTGTATTACAAATACTCAAAATATTCCTGACATACAGCAACAACAAAAAACTGGACAGTATATTCAATATATACAAGATAAACTCAAGCATAGAAGGACACTTAAAATCAAGAAGCAGCACTGATTGTGTACAGTATTTCCCAGCTTTTGGCTGGTACTCATTGAAGCCTCTTACTGTCCAAGAACTATCTACAAGCATCAACATTTAACTTTCTTTCAATATTAACATGGAAATCCCAGCAGTAAATAAAATATGTAAGACCATTCTAGAACCAAACCTTGATATGTTAATCCAAGTCATTTTGTAATTGCATATTATTATTTTTTTGATCAGAAAGGTGGATTTTTACAGCTGAATACTGAGTGGTTGAAACTGTTAAATATTTTTCCCACAACCAAATAAAAAAAGTATGCTAGTATTTTACAAATATTTAAAAAAGTAAACCTTTATCTATAGGCATTTCAAAATATATTCCATCAAAAATAGTCTGACAAATTTTGCTGGTAGAAAAAAAATGTTATATAAATGACAAAGGTTTGAAGCAAATGTTTAAAGTAGAAATGTGTCATGTTAGATTTACTTCAGAATTTAGCTTGACGTTTTTCCCTCCTGGCAGAACATCTTACATAAATGCTTTTTTCCAGCAGATAGTGTTAAAAGCCTTTTTAAAACATGCGATAACTGTAACATAAAAATCTCCATAATTTAGCAAAATAAGTTGTTTGGTGATAAAAGGGGCAACAAGCAGGTTTCAATACTTTGTCTGTAACGATGGTTAATAGTTCTATATAGATTTGTGAAAACTTGTCACCTTTGGCAAATTTGAATCGTTTCAGACGTGCTGAGAGCTCAAGGCACGTACTGTGGCAGCTCACTGGTCATCTCACACACTTAGTGAGTTCAGTCCAAAGTATCACACCTTTCACTTCCATGCCCTTCGTCTTCCTCTTCAGATGACAAACGAAGATTTGTGTCGGAAGTCGCCCTAGAATAAAAAGGGAAGAGCAAGTAAGGAAAAAGTTGGACTGCCTAGTTTTACTTTTTTGAGTTCAATAATTATTTTTAGTTTTTTCTTTACGCACCTCGTCCTCTGTCCTGACGTAGTCCACTCCGTCTCCTTTGGCTGGGGCTTTGTAACTGTCAGACACAATGTAGACATGATCAGAAGGCATTTATGTTGTTGCAAAAACAACACATAAGAATTGTTCCATGCATGTTATAAAACCTTTGGTTGTGAGTTGACCAGGTCAAGTTGTGAAGTCAAGGCTGTTCATAAGGTCTAAATCGGCAAATGTTAAACCTCAATGAGCCATGACCCATTGCCGCGCTGCTCAAGAGGAAGTCTCACTCACTTGTTTCCTGTCTGTTTCTGGCTGACGAAATAGCCTCGCTTGTACGCACAGCAGATGCCCACTGTTATACACAATAGCACCACCACCACCACCAGCACTCCCAGGATGATCCCGGCAATGTTGATGTCATCTGGGGAGAAACAACAGGAAAAACGAAGAATTTAAGTTGAGATATCTTCAACTGGCTCTTTATGAAGGAAATACCGGACTACTGGAATAACATGCTTCAACATGTAGGATTGGGCAATATACCGTATACTGGGGTATTTCGGAATACCGCCAGTATGATTTTCAATACCATTTTTAAGCCACTGCTTATAACTAACTATAAGTTAAGTATAACTATATGAAATCTACGATGTGTCAAATAAATTATATCCAGCTCAGGGCTCCAGCTATGCATTTGGTTTGTTAACTTTCTAGCTAAGTAGCTAGATGTCAAGATCAAGCTTCTTGGTTACAGCAGAGACATTCAATCCCCTCCTGGATCAAGATCCCTGTTGTCTAAATTGTTTTGTGCGTGTTTTTTTATTGTATTTATGGTGCCCCTTGTGTGCAAATTCGGTAATACCGTATACACTGGTATGGTACAGAAAGGGTATGACGGTATGAAAATCTGGATACCGCCCAACCCTAGTGTGTTGTGTAACTTGTGTACAACTTTGTCAGCTGTCAAACAGACTTACAGACTTCCATTGTCTGCGGTCCACATTCTGAGTGACCCGCGTCGTTCTTTGCTCGGCAGAAGTACTCTCCTGAGTCGTCCTTTCTGACAGCACTGAATTTCTGCAGAGGAAAAACCAACAACAGTATAACCGGTGTCCTTTTGTTCTGGTGTATGTACAGATGCTGTAAAATATATTGGCAACCTTAGCACTTTACAATGGAGTGCAATGGAGCAGAATGTTCCATTTTTTCTTTTCAAAACTGGTTGACTGGTTATTTTTACCCTTTAGGCACCTGCAACTCACCACAGTTTAGAAATTACACAGTAAATGTGAATCATTGCCTCCAACCAAATTAATTTGAATTTTGAATAACTTAGTCCAGACTATTTTTGGACTTTGTAGTGAAAAATCTCAATTTCAGTTTAGATTATACTTTTTATGGGTCCTATGCCATTGTAAATCAAACAAATGCACATGTAAACATGTACAGTTTTTAAAATGTCAATGTGGTCTTCAAGTTAAAGGGGCCGGTGTAGCATGTAGTAGGGTGTGACTCCCTGGAAGTATGTCAGTGACAGCCAGGCCAACCTTTAGAGGCTAGTGTGAAGGTTGAGTGGAGGGCCCGGGGGCGAGCCATTGACTGTGTCTGGCTGAGCAGGGGAGAGAGAGTTCAGGAATGTGCCAACCAGGACAGCAAATTCCCCTCATGGCTCAATCCCCCGCACACCATCAACTGTCTCCCCAAAATATCCGCCCCTACCCCCACAGCCTCGCCCTGCCCTAGAGTCCCCTTCCCTCCCAGTCCTCACACAAAAACACACACTCACCAAGGTGCCAGTTTCGGCGTTGAGCGTGTAGGAGGAGTTGAAGAACTTGGGGCTAGTCTTGGGGTCATCGGGGATCTCCTCCTTGTTGCGGAACCACTGGTACTGAGACTTGGGGAATCCTTCGTCCTCTACGCAGCGCAGCTCCGCCGCCTTCCCTACGGGCACCGATTTGGGGACAGCACACTTTGGCACCACTGGCTTCACTGTGGACACAAGCACACATTCAGCAATGGCAACATTCAGCATCTGATTGTGTCAAAAACAGCACAGCCCATGAAACACATTCGGCTATAGTTACTAGGCCAATGAATGACCTCCGAGAATGGGTACGCGTCTTTTGCCCCGTGCCAAATCCTGCCAACCAAACACACTTTCCATCTTTAGCGCTGCGATTTAGCAGGGATGCAGTTTCAGAGGTTTCCCCATATAGCCCAGAACACGCCTTTGGGGCAGGGACGGGCCAGTCACAACGCATCCTCATACGTGTGCCAAAGAGTTGGTGTGACCTACAACACGGTTTCAGCTTACAGCATTGAAAGTATCAACCTCTAAAGCAGCTTCATTTTAGTAAAACTGAGGAAATTATTTCCTGTAAGCTGATATGGCTGTTTTTAGGGACAATGAAAACGTTCATTGTGTTTTGTATGTTATGCTTCATAGCAACTTTCGAAAGTAAGGTTTAAGACTAACAGCAAATATTTTGGTAGTGAAATGATGAATGCATTAAAGAATTGCATCGCAAATGACTTGGCAAACATACAATTTGAGCTAGGTAGTGGCAATTCTCCCTTCCCCAAACATGCAATTTCAGTCATAGCGTCAGGGTGATGCATCTTTGTGTGGGTGTATCGTCTTACATTTGTTCTGGCTTCAATAATATACCACTGTTTACTTTAGTAATACAACTAATTATGTGATTATGGTGCAAAAAGCTGGTGATGTGTTGAGTAGACGTGAGCTGAAGCGGCTCGGAGGGATGATATACCTACCTCTTACGACGAGGTTGATCAAAATCTCATCAAAGGTTTTCTGGTCAATTGGGGCGGTGACCTCGCAACGATAACTGGCTGAGTCTGATCTTGTGGCATTGGTGATCACTAATGTTGCAGGCTCTCTGATCCTTGCTCTGCCCTCCAAATCTCCTGCAGGAGAAAAAAACACGCTGATGAGCATAGAACAGAATGTCATTCCCTCATTAGTCAGAGAACTGCTGTTTGTAAAGCAGGAGTTGTTTGTGTCTGTAAGATGATCAGAATTTTGTGGGTGGGTTTTGTCCCTTTGTGTCACATTGATATTGATGTTAGAGATATTAGTGAAGATGCCATTAAGACAAAGCACTCAGTTGAGTCCGTTACCTGAGATCTTCTTCTCAAAGTAGACATAACTGGGCTCCCCATCCTTAATTTTCTTCCATTCGATTCTGGGGTCGTTTGTAGAGATGGACTCTATCAAACAGGACAATTCGATAGCTGCCAGACGAGACGAGAGGAAATTAGATGCAAGGTTTTCAAAAGGAAGAACCCAAGGATGGATGTTGTCTGGTTCTGGTTCTTTAGTGTCATGTCAAAGTCAAGCACATCGGTGTATACATTACAACATCTCTATTGACTCTTACATTCAAACTCGTTGGCCCATGGCGCATCATTCGTTGTTCTCAGAATCACTGCCAACACGTTGAAGTAGCCTGCAAAACAGGAAAGAGGAGGAAGAAACATGAGTCTCACAGCCACACAAACTTTGCCATTATACTGATGACTTCACAAACTACGTGCGATGTCCATTAGTGCCTGTTTGTCAGGCTATAGTTGGTGAGCTCACTGTTACGCCCCCATTAGGGTTGTTTCTAACCAGTCAGCTCATCCAAAATTCCAGAAACTCAATTAACATCAATCCCCTCGCTCCCAGTCTACCACCCCACCCAGACGCATTCTTCATTCTTCCCAGCGTACCATGGCCTGGATCTGTTACCTTCCATTTTTAGTCTGGCAGGGCGAACCGACGTGGACTTAAGGGGGGCGCAGTTTCTACGCACTGTGAGTAAATGTGCAGTGAGGCATGTGCCCTTCTCGGCGCAAGCTCTCCCATGCCAGTGGCTGCCTGCTCGGCCCCTCTCTCTCTGTCTCGCTCTCTCTGGGTCTGACATGAGTGCCCATGTGGCAGTAATGGGCCACGAGCACCCTGGAAACACGCCCCGCTTTGCTCTGTGACAGGGATGGGCGCTGGGAGTGGGCACTGCTGAATCATCCCGACAGGCCATTCCTCCACACATGCATACCAACCCTGTCATACAACCATGAATAGTCTCCCTGAGACTCAGATGATGCTTCGGCTCAAGTAGCTGCTGGTCAGGGTCACAGAGGCTTGGTCAGTTGGCTTGAGTGAACTCTGCTTGTCAGTATGAATGAATGTCCTAAAAGGGATAGTTCACCCAAATTACAAATGGACATATTGGTTTCCTTAACCTGTAGGGCCGGGACGATACCAGTATCGCAATATTTTTTCCATGGAAAAAATGAAAACACGAAGCAGACCTTACTCTTTGGTCCTTGAAAAACCTGCTGTATGTAAAATATTGTGTGCTATTGCTTGGAAAATAAAAACATGTGACTCTGGATGACAACATAATGTTTGTTTTCAACATTAGGGCTGTTTTTCTAAAGAAGTTAAATCTGCTTCGTGTTTTGTTTCCTTGCCACGATACTAACGAGTATTGTGATACTGGTATTATCCCGGCCCTAATAAGCAGTCTATGGACAAAGTATGCCAGCAATCCATGCTTTGGTTTAGTTTCCCTGGCACTGTTTCCAAATGCTAACATTTTAGCATTTGTGGCACAAATCCCATTCAGGTCATGGTACCGATATTAGCATTTTTCACACATCATATTCAAATAATCTATAAGTGACTTTGTTGAGATTTACAATCAATTTTAGATACTTTCGGATGATTTGGACATGATGCGCCCAAAATACTAATATCGGTACCATGACTTGAATGGGATTTGTGCCACAAATGCTAAAATGTTTGGAAACAGTGCAAGGGAAACTAAACCAAAGCATGGATTGCTGTCATACCTTGTCCATAGACTGCTTACAGGGTAAGGAAACCAATGTGTCATTTGTGTGAACTATCCCTTTTTATTCCCTGCATTGTGAGCCACTCCCCACTGCCAACCCCTAACTTTACTGTTATTAGATTTATTCTCCTAGTGACGCACTTTGACTGAGGCCAGTGTCTACTTCACCTGACTGAAACCAACAACCAACTCCAACTCTGTGGGTGTTTTCATTAACTGGTTACCTCCAGGGACCTTACTGATCCAGTAACACAGCTTGGCGCCTCATTGCGTCCCAGCAAAAGAGGCCTAAGTGCCCTGGTCCATTAAAAAGACAGGAGCACGTTTAGAGCCTTTTACCGTCTGAGTTCACCGGGCCTCTGCTGACACATTGAATTAGCAAGACACCACACAGTTCTTTCACACAGTAAAACGAGTCTGCGACCTGAAGAGACAAGTCTGTCTGAAAGCATAAGGTTACAGATCCTTTGGTAGACCTTTCCCCAGGAAACTCTTCTCACACCCAGGCATTAGTATGTGTATTTCCTGTCCCCCTTACCCAGGTCCTGCTACGTCAAGCTCAGCTTGCTTTGGTCTCATACCAGTTCCCTGCTAACTATCCAATGCACGCATGGGTGTGTGAGCTGTTTGGGGTCGCCCTCTAAAGCAGACTGGGTAAGCTGCTTACCCTAAGGTCTCTGAGATCATTACTAGACCACAGCTTGTTTACCTTATGTCGTCAGTTTAATGCTATACATTGTCCCACGGGGTGAAAAAGGTGAATATTCACCCACTTACCTCAATATAAGATTAAACATTTAATGAGATGTAAAGTTCAGGAGTGGGAGTGATGGAAAGGAAGGACTATAAGTAACTCTTTAGTGTAGGCCTTTGAAGCTTTAATGTTCCCCCATTGCTAATGTTAATTGCTATGAATCTTTAATAGCAATATTTTGGGCTTTGTCTCTCGAGATGTGATCCATTTCATACAGTTCTAGTTAAACAAAGACAACACAAGTTAGGCCCTGAGAGTAAAACGTTCTACATATATATATATATATACTACCGGTTAAAAGTTTTAGAACACCTACTCATTCAAGGGTTTTTCTTTATTTTTACTATTTTATACATTGTAGAACATCCAAACTATGAAATAACACATATGGAATCATGTAGTAACCAAAAAAGTGTTAAACAAATCAAAATATATTTTATATTTGAGATTCTTCAAATAGCCACCCTTTGCCTTGATGACAGCTTTGCACACTCTTGGCATTCTCTCAACCAGCTTAATGAGGTAGTCACCTGGAACGCATTTCAATTAACAGGTGTGCCTTGTTAAAAGTTAATTTGTGGAATTTCTTTCCTTTTTAATGCGTTTGAGCCAATCAGTTGTGTTGTGAAAAGGTAGGGGGGGTTACAGAAGATAGCCCTATTTGGTAAAAGACCAAGTCCATATTATGGCAAGAACAGCTCAAATATGCAAAGAGAAACGACAGTCCAGCATTACTTTAAGACATGAAGGTCAGTCAATACGGAAAACTTCAAGAACTTTGAAAATGTATTCAAGTGCAGTCGCAAAAACCATCAAGCACTATGATGAAACTGGCTCTCATGAGGACCGCCACAGGAATGGAAGACCCAGAGTTACAGTGAAGGAAAAAAGTATTTGATCCCCTGCTGATTTTGTACGTTTGCCCACTGACAAAGAAATGATTAGTCTATAATTTTAATGGTAGGTTTATTTGAACAGTGAGAGACAGAATAACAACTAAAAAATCCAGAAAAACGCATGTAAAAAATGTTATACATTTATTTGCATTTTAATAAGGGAAATAAGTATTTGACCCCTCTGCAAAACATGACTTAGTACTTGGTGGCAAAAAACCTTGTTGGCAATCACAGAGGTCAGACGTTTATTGTAGTTGGCCACCAGGTTTGCACACATCTCAGGAGGGATTTTGTCCCACTCCTCTTTGCAGATCATCTCCAAGTCATTAAGGTTTCTCGAACCTTCAGCTCGCTCCACAGATTTTCTATGGCATTAAGGTCTGGAGACTGGCTAGGCCACTCCAGGACCTTAATGTGCTTCTTCTTGAGCCACTCCTTTGTTGTCTTGGCCGTGTGTTTTGGGTCAGTGTCATGCTGGAATACCCATCCACGACCCATTTTCAATGCCCTGGCTGAGGGAAGGAGGTTCTCACCCAAGATTTGACGGTACATGGCCCCGTCCATCGTCCCTTTGATGCGGTGAAGTTGTCCTGTCCCCTTAGCAGAAAAACACCCCCAAAGCATAATATTTCCATCTCCATGTTTGACGGTGGGGATGGTGTTCTTGGGGTCATAGGCAGCATTCCTCCTCCTCCAAACACGGCGAGTTGAGTTGATGCCAAAGAACTCCATTTTGGTCTCATCTGACCACAACACTTTCAACCAGTTCTCCTCTGAATCATTCAGATGTTCATTGGCAAACTTCAGACGGGCATGTATATGTGCTTTCTTGAGCAGGGGGACCTTGCAGACGCTGCAGGATTTCAGTCCTTCACGGCTTAGTGTGTTACCAATTGTTTTCTTGGTGACTATGGTCCCAGCTGCCTTGAGATCATTGACAAGATCCTTCCGTGTAGTTCTGGGCTGATTCCTCACCATGATCATTGCAACTCCACGAGGTGAGATCTTGCATGGAGCCCCAGGCTTAGGGAGATTGACAGTTATTTTGTGTTTCTTCCATTTGCGAATAATCGCACCAACTGTTGTCACCTTCTCACCAAGCTGCTTGGCAATGGTCTTGTAGCCCATTCCAGCCTTGTGTAGGTCTACATCCTTGGAGAGCTCTTTGGTCTTGGCCATGGTGGAGAGTTTGGAATCTGATTGATTGATTGCGTCTGTGGACAGGTCTCTTTTATACAGGTAACAAACTGAGATTAGGAGCACTCCCTTTAAGAGTGTGCTCCTAATCTCAGCTCGTTACCTGTAAAAAAAAACACCTGGGAGCCAGAAATCTTTCTGATTGAGAGGGGGTCAAATACTTATTTCCCTCATTAAAATGCAAATCAATTTATAACATTTTTGACATGTGTTTTTCTGGATTTTGTTGTTGTTATTCTGTCTCTCACTGTTCAAATAAACCTACCATTAAAATTGTAGACTGATCATTTCTTTGTCTGTGGGTAAACGTACAAAATCAGCAGGGGATCAAATACTTTTTTCCCTCACTGTACCTCTGCTGCAGAGGATAAGTTCATTAGAGTTACCAGCCTCAGAAATTGCAGCCCAAATAAATGCTTCACAGAGTTCAATTAACAGACACATCTCAACATCAACTGTTCAGAGGAGACTGTGTGAATCAGGTCTTCATGGTTGAATTGCTGCAAAGAAACCACTACTAAAGGACACCAATAAGAAGAAGAGACTTGCTTGGGTCAAGAAACACGAGCAATGGACATAATACCGGTGGAAATGTGTCCTTTGGTCTGGAGTCCAAATTGGAGATTTTTGGTTCCACCTGCCGTGTCTTTGTGAGACGCGGTGTGGGTGAACGGATGATCTCCGCATGTGTATTTCCCACCGTAAAGCATGGAGGAGGAGGTGTTATGCTGTGGGGGTGCTTTGCTGGTTAAGGCACACTTAACCAGCATGGCTACCACAGCATTCTGCAGCGATACATCATCCCATCTGGTTTGGGCTTAGTGGGACTATCATTTGTTTTTCAACAGGACAATGACCCAACACACCTCCAGGCTGTGTAAGGGCTATTTTACCAAGAAGGAGAGTGATGGAGTGCTGCATCAGATGACCTGTCCTCCACAATCCCCCGACCTCAACCAAATTGAAATGGTTTGGGATGAGTCGGACCGCAGAGTGAAGGAAAAGCAGCCAACATGTGGGAACTCCTTCAAGACTGTTGGAAAAGCATTCCA